TTTGCACAAAAAAAAAAAGAAAATAAAAGAACGCAGTTACTTTTTGACCAACGTAATATATCGTGGGCATTGCATTATAGAAGATAAGAATATTCGTCGCAATACTAATTCTTATTGTGTGAATGTGCATCTTTCACGTCTGGATTTTTTACGCTCAATAGTATATTTTTATTATCGGGATACTATTTTTCACGAATAGCAGCAAAAATTTAAACGGAAAATTATTATTCTTTAATACAAAAAAGTTCATTTCTTTATATATATATATATATAATAATTATTATTATTATTACTTTATATATATATTGTATTAAAAAGTGATGTTCTATATTGAAGAATAATAATTTTCCATTTGGCCCGAAAGTAATTGCGTTTTTTATCTAATAGATGTAATATATACACACATATATATATATATATATACACTGAACCTTTCGAAAATTACCATTTAAAATTCGAATCTAAGCAAGATTAAAAGGAACCGCCGTAAACGTCAACTCGACGACACGCGCAGCGCGCGAAAACTGGCACCACGGCGAGCGTTCCTAGAACTCGGCGAGGATAATTGGCGAACCACAAGGGAATTCGCACCCCCTGCCCCATAATCGATACGTTGCCATTGTCTTTCCTTACGTGCAGGCGTCGTAAATTTAGGAGAATTTTGATCCTGGCCCGAGAGGAGTCGGCCCGGTAATTTTCGTAACCCCGTTGCCGGGCATAATTGCCACGTTTTCGTAGCCCCACGGGGCCTAAAATTCGCCGATGGATCTCATAGCCGTAGAACCTGTTGGAGAACAGAGGGAGAAAGTGTTGCATGGCCGACCTCGACCGACACTTCTTCCCTCCAACTGCCACTTTTCTCCCCCGACTAAATCGGGCCTGGTCGTTCGTTCGGTTCGTATCTCTGCTGTTTTCTTCCTCTTTCTTTTTCGTTTTGTTCCTTCCTTTACGTTCTCCCTTTTTTTTTTCTTTTTTTTTTTTTATTTTTTACGGCAACGACTGTCTCGTAATTCAGTTACCTCGAGAAAGCTGTTCACGCTTCCTTTCGAAACTGTTCACCGCTGTGCGTCGCTTCTGACGCAAAGTGCCAAGTGCTGCGTCGTAGAAGAATTTTTACGATGACTTGCGGCTCTTCGGAATTACCTTGGTCCCTCGGCGTGTACCCCTTTCGTTCGACGTTGGTTGTTTCTGAGTTATTTCCTCCGTGTATAATAATTTTCTCCGGCTGTTCCACATGTTTCGATCGTGCTTTTATCGAGAAGTATCAACGATACAACAGCGTCAAGTGTGAACCAGACGAAAGTTCTCTGTATCAATTATCCTGTCGCAGATCTTAAGCAAAATATCCATGCGCCGTGGAAATGAAGCGAAACTGTAATTTCGCGCATCAATTACCCTGTCTCGGCTCTTAAACACAAAGTGTTCGTGCATGAAAGGAGGATTTAAACACCGAGTCGACGAGGTTTGCGAGAAATGAAGATGATTCCACGGAGCGTACACGCACCGTACCGATGAAAAGTTCCGAAGAAGGAGAAGAAGAGAAACAAGATCGACACGTCCCCGGAGGGTTCGGAACCAGCGCTCCTCGTATCCCTGCTGCTGTAAGAATTTCCATCGTACCGGCCGTTTCGCTCGTCACGGAACAAAGTAGAACGAAGAGGCGCGCACGTATCGTCCTGAATATAAAAGGGAAACACGCAGGATGGAAAGGAAACGATCCTGTTGTAAAATAGCGAAACGGACAGAGGGGCAGACGAGCCGGGGTGATGTACGAGAGCGTTCCGAGCGTGGCGTTGCCTGAAAAGGAAGCCGACGGCGCCTCCGGTTAGCGGAAGTCGCCCTCCAACTAGTTTTACACACAACTGATCCGCGAGCCTCGTTCTACGCGAACTGTAACCAGCAGCAACGCGACTAACAATCGAGCCGGTGAAGTTATACGGCGCGCAAACGTCGCTAATTACGTGTTTTCGAACGAGAGGTGGACTTTTTGAAAATTTGGTGTCACTATAAAAAGTTTGGATGTGTCCGTATTGTATACTTGAAGTATCACATTGCGTACCGCGCTCGGCACATTTTTGGAACAGCAGGGAAACTGCACAATGCATATATGCACTTCTTTAATTCACATTGATAAAATCTTCTTAAATATTACTATATATTTTTTATAGTAATATTTAAGTTTATGGTAATATTATTATAGTAATTATAGTAATATTACGTTTATAGTATTATTATTTATAGTAATATTAATCTATTTACCATGTATTTTAGATTTTAATTTATATTATTATTATTTACTTCATATTTATATTAACACATTGAGGATGGTATGCTCTGATAAACATATGGCCTGTATTTTCTCGTATTGTTTGAATTATTTAATATATGATTGAAAGGGTTCAAGAGCATGTATAGCATTTAACAAGTGTATTATTCTATTAATAATTAAAATCATTAATTATTTTTCATTTTAGAGGTATATATATATATATATTTTATTAAATAAAATGAAAATACCTCTAGTAACGTTTCTTGGTGCAGTATGTTAGGAAACAATTTCCCTACTTCTTGAAAAATTATATAACATCATAATATATAATTATATATTATATATAATATTATATAATATAAATTACGTTCTCCGTCCGCAACATTGAAACACGAAAGACGAAAATTCTCGTCTCCCATCCGCAACAGTTGAAAGCTGAAAGACGCAAGGTAACGTTCGTAACGACGGTGATTTATCTCTCCGTTAATGAATTAGTATGGAGAAAACTAAAGCTTTTTATGGGAAACGAAAAGTATCTACAAATATCTTTTTGTATCCATCGTGAAAATGTTGAACTTTGAAAAATTCCATCCATGCATACTTTCACACGCTCTGACCACACGCTTCGACGCTTCCTATCAGTCTCATTCAAGAAACGCTCGTTAACGAGCTGCAAAATGGGACGCGACAACGTCCCACCAGGCAGTCGCCGACAAATTTAATAACCCTAATGAACTTCTTGCTTCGTCGAACCTAACGTTCCACCGAACGTCGCAATCAGCGGCCTTAGTCCTTCACATGTCTCCTTCGCAAGAAATCATGGTCGCTGTTTCTCCCTCTCTCTCTCTCTCTCTCTTTTTTCTTCATCGTCGACAACGATTAGGACATTAATCTTCCAAGCGGTCGAAGCGCAGAAAACGCGGCTGCGCGGAGGCCGCGTGGGGCTTATTGGCCGAGCAAGAATCCCGGAGCGATGCAGATCCACGGTCGATCCGCATTCTCAAAAGTTCGTGGCGCCGTGGGCCGGTGCGCGCGTTCTGCATTCGCCTTGCACGCAGATATGTCGCGCAGCATCTGGTCAGTACGAAATACCAGGGCCCGGTTGTACGCTTCTTCCCTTCTTTTCTTCTCCGCGCGTCCTCCTCTGACGCTCCTCCGTGCCCCCCATCGAACCATCTTCTTTCACAGACGCTCGGCCACGGAGCTCGCCCGAGCAAGAAGGATGTCGTTGCGCAATTATTTTCGCATGATTCCGATCGGTCAGCCAGATTAAGACCACCGATGGAACGCAGCGTCGCGTTCGTTTGCGATCAGCGTTACGCAGCAAAACCAGAATTCCCCGAGTCGGAGACCGGCTACGTGCGACTATGCGCCGCGACGCGGGCGACGCACGGTCGTCGTGCATGATTCCGGGTCCCCCGAATCTCGCCGCCACGATGGGACAAAGACGTAAACAGATGAAGAAGTCCGAAAAGGAGTGGAACGGGTTCCGTTTCGTGTTCCCGGACGTCTGTCGATCATCGGCCATCGTTTTTGTCGCGGCCTCGCGATCGCTTTTGCCTCTCCTCCCCGATACTCCGATTCACGTTCCGGTTATTAACCGAGTTATGAATGATTCCGCGCGATCGATCGCGCGAAACGATAATTCAGGTCGTTCAGAGTTTTTTTTTTTTTTTTTTTTTTTTTTGAAAAGATATAAAAAATTGCAGCCTAAAAATTTTTTTTTTTTTTTTTTTTTTATGAAAAGATTCGAGATACGTAATATTTGGAGAATACTGAAGGACAGTCTTTTCACAGATAATCAGATAATCTTTTTTCTGTTATCGCGTTCTCGACCGATATTTGCCTTTAGAAATGATACGGGATAGATGTGATAAAATGAAAGTTTCATTGTCCAGGGTGAAAACGTGCAGTCAAGTTCATCGTTTCGATGAAAATCGAGAAACTCAGCTTATCTGAGCTTATCTTAGCTAAGATGAAATGACGTCCAAAAGACTACTGTTGGATAAATTAATTAATTATTCCCTTACATACAGTATCGATTGACGAGGCATGGTCACACAAGGATCTTCGACACGTACGGTAGTCGTCGATTGCACAACGGAATTAACCGCGTGCACACGTGTGTGATGGAAGTTGTTCGCCCACTAGCACGCTTTCAGAGCTTAGAAAGCTATCTATAGATCGGAGAAGCGCTTTCGACGATGTGGGTGGCGACCTCAGTGGCCGTTCCACTTGGTAATTCTATAAACGGGGGAGGATCGTCAACGTAGGTACGGAAGCCGTGCGACCAGTCTCTATATCTCAGACATTTATAAAATGCCGTTGTAGCTGGATCAACAGCTCTACCGGTGTAAGGTTCATTGCATTCGACTGTACATGTGCTCCTCAAATACTGACATTTAAGTATCTTGCTCGACCGCGCATAAATAAATCGTGGAACGCGGCGATCGTTAACCTTTCAACCATGTAACCAAGATTGTTTTGCAATTGTGATTCATGAACTGCGTGGATACACGTATTTAAGTTTTCTGTTCGATATTTCCTCGATGTAACAATGAATTAATGAACGTCTCTTATAATGTCACCTAATAAAATGAAATACTTTGTATAAAATAATAAATATTTCTTGCTCAATACTTTCAATTGTGTTCCAATTCCAGGAAAATCTCTGCTTCGTCTTTTCGATGAAACTTTTTTATTCAACTGCGTCAAGTAATTGATTGAAAACAGAATAATCACGTTATTGCTTCTTGCATTCGATCGTCTGGCATTCTTCTCTGTGAATCTCTATTCTAAAAGTTTCCTCTCTCTCTCTTTGGTTGCAGTTTGCATCGGTACCAATGGCCGCCTCTCCGTTCCATCCAACAAACAGCATCACTATAGGAATCTTCGAGACCGGTACACCAACTGTACCTATGTCGACGGTAACTTGGAGATCACGTGGCTGCAGAATGAGACATTCGACCTCAGTTTCCTCCAGTATATACGAGAGGTTACCGGTTACGTGCTCATCAGCCACGTGGACGTCAAGAAGGTTGTTCTGCCGCGATTGCAGATCATACGGGGCAGAACTCTCTTCAAGCTTACCATTCATGACATCGAGTTCGCCCTGTTTGTCACGATGTGCCAAATGCAGAACTTGGAGATGCCGGCCCTCAGAGGTAAAGAGGAATTTGTCGATCTTTTTTTCTCAATGAGCGAAATTTGATATTCAAAGTTGTAAAAATTCTTCCTTTCACTTCCCTTTTATCTTTTGCTCGATACTTTTCTTCCTTCTCGTTTTTCCTTTCAGTATTTTCTTTTCATCTCTCCGTTTTTTTTTCTCTCTCTTCTACCTTGCCATCGCTCTTTTCTCTTTTGTAAGAGAAACAAATCTTATCAAGTCAAAATATCCCTAGAATCCTAAAACAATTTCATTCTGTATTATCGTTACACGTTATTCCAATTCTCTAAATACAATGTCAAACACAAACAATGCTACGAAAAGTCACAAAATAAATATGAAAATTATCTTGCAATCGTCCTTTCTGGAATAGAAAGAACAGTGAACAATATCATCTGGATATTGTAGAGAAATACGTGTAGACTTGTACCATGAATCCAACAGCGTTTCGAGCAGAAAAAAAGGTCTGCTTCGCGTTGTATTAACAATAAACGTGTAACTGTAAATCACACGTGTATTTGCCAGATATCCTCAACGGGAGCGTGGGCATATACAACAACTACAACCTGTGCCACATCCAAAAGATCAACTGGGACGAAATAATCACCGGGCCGAATGCAACGTACTCTTACGTGTACAATTTCACGTCGCCGGAACGCGCCTGTCCGCCATGCGATAAGAGCTGCGAGCAAGGCTGCTGGGGCGAGGGGCCTGAGAACTGTCAGAAGTACTCCAAGACAAACTGTTCGCCTCAGTGTTGGCAGGGCAGGTGCTTCGGGCCCAATCCGCGCGAGTGTTGCCATCTTTTTTGCGCCGGTGGCTGCACAGGCCCGAAACAGAGCGACTGCATCGCATGCAAGAACTTCTTCGACGACGGCGTATGCACGCAGGAATGTCCGCCCATGCAGAAGTAAGTGGATCCGATCCGTATCTCCTTCGTTTTGTCACGAACAATTTCGTTGCGTTGATTCCACTCGCGAATCAAGTCGTATCTGAATCGCTTTCTATTTTGATCGGCGAGTTCAACTGACAGATAGACCGCGGATTTTCACGGTACTTGTGGAAAACTTTTAAAATTGCAGAGTACGTGTAATATAAAGAAATATGTAAAACATCGAGAACGTAGAACTTTCTGCTTCAATGTTTGGCACATGAAGCAATTTTCTACACCGATGTTCTATTTTTTAAATTATATTCTCAGAGTTACAATTTCATGTAGAAATCCGCGTTTAGCATTTTTTTTTTTTTTTTTTTTTTTTAGAATATTGAATATTGTTATTTATCATCCTGAAAATTAGAAAGCAGCAATAAATTATGGTGACAATAGTAAGCAATGTGATAAATTATTATTAAAAAATTTAAACAGTGGATTCTACCACGACGAAATCAAAAATAATTGCAATTTCAATCTCACCATACATGGTTCAAATAACAAAATACGCCTTGCCATCCATTGCGCGCCACAAAAAATCGATATCCTCGCATAGAAAATCTTTTCAACCTATTCCCCCATAATATCGTCATAATCTCACGGATCTTATACTCTCTGTAATTGGAAACGCAAGAACGGTCTATCGAGTCGCGTTGATGTTCACGCGTTCGCTCAAATTTACCACGGCCTGTTCGAACCCAGTGACGCGTTTTACCCCTGGCGTTTTGCAACGGCGTCTTTATCACCTATAAATCTTCCCTGTCTACTATTGACTTTCCTGCCACGGTATGCCTACGACCCTAGGTCTTAGGTCTTAGTCGCTCGCTAAAAATCATTAGGAACGATTTTTGAGATACGGAGTAATAAGGATTTTACGACGATCGTTTCAGATACAATCCTACGACGTATTCGTGGGAGCCGAATCCCGACGGGAAGTACGCGTACGGTGCAACTTGCGTGAGAAGATGTCCGGAACATCTTCTGAAAGACAACGGGGCTTGCGTGAGATCGTGTCCACCGAAGAAGAAGGCACTGAACGGAGAATGCGTGCCCTGTGACGGACCTTGCCCGAAAACCTGCGAGGGCGTGGAGAAAGTGCATTCTGGCAACATCGACAGTTTCAAGGACTGCACCATCATCGAAGGATCGATCACGATCCTCGACCAGAGCTTCCAGGGATTCCAACACGTGTACCCGAACTTCAGTTTCGGCAAACGTTACGAGAAGATGCATCCGGACAAGCTGGAGGTGTTCAGCACGTTGAAGGAGATCACCGGGTATTTAAACATTCAAGGGGATCATAAGGATTTCAAGAATCTGTCGTACTTCCGCAATCTGGAGGTGATAGGGGGAAGAAGCCTGACCGATTACTTCGCGTCGTTGTACGTGGTGAAGACGTCGTTGGTCTCGTTTGGCCTCAGATCGCTCAAGAAGATCTACTCTGGAACGATAGCTATATTGGAGAACAAGAACCTGTGCTACGCGCAGAGTATCAATTGGACCAACATCAAGAAATCGTCCGAGCATGGGAGCTTGTTGTCGAATAATCGGAACGAAAGCGAGTGCAGTAAGTAGTGTTCACTATTATAATTCACTGAAACGAATGTTACTAGAATAGAATATTGTCGAGATACTGATACCGAATAAATTTAATGATTTACTATAGAGTAATTTGTGTAATATTACGTTATTTTAGTTAATTTATTCTAGTGTGGTTAAACAGTAAAATCAAAGATCCTTTTTCTTTTCTTTTTTTTTCTTCATACAAAACATTTACAGTGATTATCCATCTTTTATTGTCGTACAATTTTTTAAAAGTCACGCACTTATTATTCCAGTGATATTCATTCACACGAGTAATTATTTCAAATGCAATTTGAAATCGAACATAGTATAAAATTTATGAAACAAATGGCGTACATAAATACCTTGTGCAATTACAGTAAAAGATGGTTTAATATGCGACGAGCAATGTTCCGACGAGGGTTGTTGGGGGCCTGGTCCGGCACAATGTCTGTCCTGCAAGAACTTCATCCTAGGGAACGACTGCGTCCAAGACTGCACCGCACCAGGGTAAGATTCACTGAATCGAACATCTCTTCGTAAGCTCGTATATATATATATATATCGATTACATCGTGATGTAAATAACACACGTTACTTCTGTATGTTAAATTTGCCTACCTCAGATTGTGGATCGAAGGTAAACTGCAAACACCTGAGAAGGCTTCCTTAATTTTCTGCTTCGCGTGCGCACGTTTTCGCTCTCTTTCCCAACGTTTGTTTGCACGCCACGAGAGAAATTATTGTTATTTTCATACGATTTTTTTTTTTTTAGAATCTATCGAGCGGATGAAAAGACCTGCAAGGTGTGTCACGAGGAGTGCGCTGGCTCTTGCACGGGGCCGAACGCCGAGCATTGCAAGAAATGCAAACACGCGCGTGATGGCCCATACTGCGTGCCAGAGTGTCCATCCTCCAAGTATTATGACAACGGTCTGTGCAAGAGCTGTCACGAGAATTGCGTGGGTGGCTGCGACGGCCCTGAAAACAACATAGGCCCTAACGGATGTCACAGCTGCGATAAGGCGATCATGAACGGTCACGTACCTAAAGGATGTCTGCAGAAAAAGGAACCCTGCCCTGACGGTAAGTAATCTTCACCGTTTATTCCGTTTTAAAGCGGACTCGAGTTTTAGTTCAGCAAATATTTTAGACTTCTCGATTCTGGGACACTAGAAAAGAAAAGCGACTTAATTACCTCTCTGTGTATAGTAATTATTTCGTTGATTGACTGACTAATTAAAATTTCGTTCAAACACAAGTAGAGTTTGGCAATGTATTTGTTTTGCAATTGTATCTCGTGCTTGAATTCATCTGATAATTTCCAATTTTGAACGTCGAATGATGAGGCCGGATAAATCTGAAAAAATATATTTTTGTTTGATAAATAGGTAGTTATCTATTGTTTTATCACTCTGGATACACTTATCTTGTCGTGATGGATTTTTATATTGTTAATCAATGTATGCAAAGATGTCACGATAGAATTCAGAAATTTAATAAAAAAGAAAAAATTTCTGTTAAAGGATACTACTATGAATGGGTGAGTCCTCAAGAGCAAGGAGCACTGAAACTACTAGCAGGCAAGGCCGTTTGCCGCAAATGTCATTCACGATGCAAAAAGTGCACGGGATACGGTTTTCACGAGCTCGTGTGCCAAGAATGTACAAAATACAAGAGGGGCGAACAGTGCGAAGACGAATGTCCCGCGGATCATTTCACGGATGCTGATACTCAGCTCTGTATACCGTGCGACAGCGAGTGTCGAGGATGCTTCGGACCGGGGCCGAATCAATGTTACAAATGTCGGAACTACAAGATCTATATTGTAAGTGCAAGTTTTTCTCTCGGATACACAATATTTGTACCTAATTCAGCGAAGAGAAATATCCTTCATTTATGAAAATTCTATTAAATTGAAATTGATTTTCGATTGTTTCATATAATTCAAGTATCATAGTTTGGATTGAATGAGTAAGCCAAATTATTGAGAAAAGAAATTGTAAAAAAGTTACAAATGAAAAGTGATTTGACAATTATATTTTGATCCTCATAAAATGTACGATGAATTAGAAATAATAAATTAATGATGTATCAAAATTTATTATACAGTGATCTAATAATAAAAAAAATGCCCAATTTTGCTAAATATAGTTACATATTATTACAATTCCTAAAGTTTAACTTCCCAATAATTCTTGAAATTAATTTTCTATAAGTAGTCAACGATAAAAAATTCACATAATTCTACGTTCAAGTTAAAATAACCAATTTCTGTGTTTAAATTTTATTTTTTAATTTCAGGACGGAGATATAGATGGGAACACCACGTCTTTCAATTGCACGGAGACATGTACCCCTGAGTATCCGCACAAGATCTTCAATCCAGACAGCGAGCCATATTGTTCGCTGGAAACCGTCGGCTCTCTAGTGGAAAACGAACTTCAACCAGCCATCTTGGCAGGCGTTGTGGTATTTGCTTTAGCGTTCCTCATAGTAGCAGCCATAATCATGTACTTCTGGCGCGTACGAGCGAAAGCCAAGGAGAACACCGTGAAAATGACGATGGCCCTGACTGGCTTGGACGACAACGAACCACTCCGTCCGACTGGCGTGAAACCAAATCTAGCGAAATTGCGTATCATTAAGGAAGAAGAAATGAGGAAAGGCGGTATTCTAGGCTACGGTGCTTTCGGGAACGTTTACAAAGGTGTTTGGGTGCCAGAAGGAGAGAACGTGAAGATTCCAGTGGCTATAAAGGTTTTGCAAGGCAACGGCACAGGAGCGAACACGTCCAAGGAATTTCTCGACGAGGCTTACATCATGGCTAGCGTGGAACATCCGAATCTACTTCAATTGCTGGCCGTTTGCATGACGTCGCAGATGATGTTGGTGACCCAGCTGATGCCCCTTGGCTGTTTGCTCGATTTCGTGCGTAGATTTAAAGATAAAATCGGCTCGAAGGCGTTGCTAAATTGGTGCACACAGATCGCTCGAGGGATGGCCTATCTGGAAGAAAGAAGATTGGTCCATCGAGATCTTGCCGCTCGAAACGTTCTGGTGCAAACGCCTAATTGCGTGAAGATTACCGATTTCGGATTGGCTAAGCTTCTGGACATCAACGAGGAACAATACAAGGCCGCCGGTGGAAAAATGCCGATCAAGTGGCTGGCCTTGGAATGTATTCAACATCGAGTGTTCACCCACAAGTCGGACGTTTGGGCCTTCGGTGTGACGATCTGGGAGGTTCTTACTTACGGCGGTAGACCGTACGAGAACGTGCCCGCTCGAAACGTACCGGAATTATTGGAGAAAGGTGAAAGATTACCTCAGCCGGCAATTTGCACAATCGACGTATATATGATTATGATTAAGTGTTGGATGTTGGACGCTGAGTCGAGGCCCAGCTTCAAAGAACTGGCCGAAGACTTCGCCAAAATGTCTAGAGATCCTGGTCGATATCTTGCTATCAAGGGCGACAAATATATGAGGCTACCTTCGTATACACTACAGGTTGGTGAACCACACTCGATACTTTGCTGATTATCTTACCTATTATAGTGGTTTCTCATCGTTGAAACATTTTTTAAGTTCAAGAAAAAACATTTAGATGTATCTGTAAGAAATAAAAATATATAAAATACGAACATATATATATATATGTACATAAAAATATTACACAATAAAATTTTGTTGAAATCCATTAAAGTGAAAGAAAAATTGAGATATCAAGTAATCAGGCATAATAATCTGGCAAGAATAATAAGTAATTACGATTTTGTATTTAGGACGAAAAAGAGATGATACGAAATCTCGCGTCAGCTATGGACGGACCCGAGGCTTTGGTAGACGCTGACGAGTATCTACAACCAAAATCTAGGGCTCCTATTCCGCCAGGACTTTCAGCATCCAGTACTTCCGGCTCTCCGCCAAACACACCCGTGAAAGCTTGTTGGCCAAATGGAAAACCGTTGGCCACTGATTCACCCACGCCTCAGAACCAACAAAATCTAGACCGAGAGTTGTTGAGGTACGGCGCGAATCATAGAAATGGGAACATATCGCACGAACCAGGAAATTCCGGTCAACACGGGCATTACGCGCCTCCGAACGGTCATTGCGGGCATATCAGTGGCTCGGACACCACTAGTTCGAGATATTGTTCGGACCCGTTGAAAATGATCGTTGTCAGAGGTGAGTTGATTATTATTACTCTAAAATTCTTTAATCCAAGAAACATCTCTAGTACATATAAATATAATACACTATATGAAAATACATAATACTTTTTAATTACATACGTAAAATTTTTAATTATATCGATTAAAAGTTTGAAATTATTCTCAAAACCTATTTGTCTGAAATTGAAACGAAATTTTAGTTAATGTCTCATTTGCTTATTCTACTACTAGATCGTACGTGAATTCATTTTGTAAACAAACATTGATATTAGATAGTAAGATAATTTATTAATTTCCTCTCTTATAAATTGCTTATTTCCGAATAAATTTAAACAAATGGAATTCTACTGTGCAAACGTAAATTCCCAGAAACATGTCAAACATTAATTTCATTTTTCTGTTCGCTTAGACTGCGACGTGACAGACGATTGTTTCGACGGCGAAATAAACTCTGCGCACCAGCAAGCCCAAGTAGGTAATCTGAAGCTCGACTTGCCATTAGACGAAGATGATTACTTGATGCCATCGCCACAATTGCCAACAAATACCACGCAGTACATGGATCTCATAGGGGACTCGAAACCGACGGGTAAGGCTGTGACGCATTTTCTAAATCACTCGAATACAAAATACTTGTCGCTTGCCATAACAATTCTCAAGTGACGTTATTGCTTTTCAGAAATGGAACCAAAGCGAGTGAACAACGGTTATCGAAAGTATCCCGAATTCCTAACTATCCAAGGGAAGACGTCGTTGGATAATCCCGAGTACATAATGTCGCAGGACGAAGGGCCACTAACGCCGCAAACTTTAGGTATCCCAACGCCTGACCTGGAAAAGGTTCTAACGAACGGAACGTTCGGCTCTCAAGTGAGGCAAAGGAGCTCGGAAGAAGAATCTGATCACGAGTACTACAACGACTTCGATCGTTTGGAACGAGAATTACAACCGCTGAAACCCCTCAGGAAGAACGAGACGACCGTTTGACTTCGAGATCCTTGAGAAAATACGGACTGGTTCTAGTTAGAATTCGGAAAACCGGATGTCGTTCGTCGCACGAAGATACAATTTCGAACGCAAACAAGTCCGGCTCCTCGTGCTGCTCGAGGAAACTTCACAGTGTACTTAGAAAGGACACTTCGCTGCAAAAGTGCCGTGCTTTATTGTGATTAGACGTAAAAACGTGTGAAGCCTGTGCTAATTTCTCTTCTCAGCAATCTGACTGTTGTCAAGGAATTAAAAAAAAAGAAAAAGAAAAAAAAGGAACTCACGTGTCTCACGCGCCATGAACTGTAAAATCCGTCGACGAGTGCGCGTACGATAAACAAGTAGTGCAAAGATAATCTTAATGTGCCATTTACCGTGGCTTGTAAATAAAAAAAAAAAAAAAAAAGAAGAAGAAGAAGAAAAGTACTGTTTACTATTTCTGTAAGGCTATTACAAGTTGTAGGGAAACGACGTGAAGTAAATGGCATAAACAATCCTATCTCTGTCTCCGACATTTAAACATACTATCCTTCACAGTCCACCTTCAACGTGTTCTTTTATTTCGTTGATTTGTTTGACACATTCGCGCCTGTTAGAAAACTTTTATACAAAAGTATGCGAACGTAGACTCTTTTGCTTCTCAAAATTAAATCCCTGTAAATTCGATCGACGGTCGCGAGGATCTCCGTTTTACGTGATCGGGCACGAATCACAAGATGTCAAAAATTGCGCGCGGGGCAAGTTCAGAAATTACCGACTACATTCAACGAAAAATTTAAACCGCTTCGTGACGCAGAACATCTGCGCGATTCGCCCCTTGACTGTGATAAAAAAATATAATTATTGTTACTAGAGGACACTTAACGATCACATACATCTCAATCATTTATAGATCTATTCTTGCTTCCCTTCTTTTTATACATTGCAGTAAGCTACGACAGTACAACGAATTGTCCTAATTTACTGCCTTAATAGTAATAACATTTCCGAATCGTGACGTAAAGATCGATCGAATTCCAGGGATTTACCTAAGCGAAATCGAACGAAACAGACTCGAGAAAGACTTTTCTTTCAAAAGAAAAAAACGTCCAAGATATCTGTCGTTTCCCAGGATTGTCGTCACCTCTACGGCTCTACTTAAAACGACACCCTATATTTTTTTATGCCATCGCCTTTTTGTACATGGGACCAATGAAATTGGCCTCGGCCACAGCACACGGAAGTATCTCGATTTCTTTCTTTTTTAATGTAGGAACGCGTCTGTGTACATAGATTAGTGATTAGCGCGTAAGATATTCTACGTACGCGCGTAGAATACGGAAAGTACTTGAGTAAAATAAGTAATCTGTATCTGTTTTTCTTTTCGAGTAATCACGCGGACGAAAAAAGAAAACGGACGTGTGAAATAATGAAATAATGAAAAGCGTAGCGCCGGTATGCGAATTATACAGGATTGCGCTGTGCCGCGTAATCAATAGGATTAGGACGTGCCATGTTGTGTACAGGAAACGCGCGAGAGAGAAAAAATAAAAATAAAAGTATGACGAACGCGTTTCGTTGTCGGGGAATTCGTGACACGTGTTCGTGTTAAGTTGAAATTTAAAAAAGAAAATGTAAATCGGAAAATTATTCGTGCTTATTGCATTTGATTAGCCAGGAGAAGCGTGCATGAGTGTGTGCACGAAACTTACGATCGTGATGATGAATTAAAAATCAAATTCTCAACGATGTTCGAGCTTCTGTGATAAAACGGGATCGAGTTACAGAAATAAAAATCATTTAATATAATGTAAAATATACTTTTAGCAAGCTTTTACAATCGTACGAATTTCAAATCTTGTTGCACGCGAAATGCATGCTTTTACCTTTAAGGATGATAAGCCAATGCGTGTCATGTACATTGCGTTAATCGTTATTAATGGTTACGTTATTGATTTCTCTTCTGTAATATATTATATGTGTATCAATGATTGCATTGCCGAGTAGATCGACGTGTACCTCGAGAAACACATACACGTTCATTTTCGACATATTCTTGTTGAAAAAAAAAAAAAAAAATGAAGAACAAAAAAACATGTCTTTCTGTATGCTTTGCCTCATGTTGTCCCCGTCTGTATGATTCTGTGTAAAATCGGCAATGAGAAAACCGCGTGTCTGAATTTGAAATTGTATAATACCGTTCGATAGCCGGGATAAAATAACTGCGATGAATTGCATTTGCCATTCGGTTGTGGACATAGAACTTATAAAACTTTATAATAACTTTATATATCGTAAAAAAATTATTGTAATAAAGAATCATCATCATTCTTACAAAGCCTTGCTACTTTCTTTCTCTCTTTATTTCATTTCTTTCGATATATATTATTATATAATAATGTATGCTATTTATATTATGTTACATAATAATGTAACATATTAATATATATTATTATATAATAATGAATCACAATTATTATTATATAATAATGAATATCTTATCACTTGATATTCATACGATGTCTGGCAATTTGCTCTTTCCTTTTTATCACTTATCACATATGAATAATTAAATTCGTTTTTAAACATAAATTGCGAAAGAGAAAGAATATTTTTGGATAAAATATGGTAATATCGTACCATAATTTGTAGTAAAAAAAAACTTGAATACATTTTAATTCAGAATGACATAATTTTTATAAATTTTTTTATTTTAATAAGTAGTTAAATTTAATTTAATTACTATTTTAATACGTAGTTAAATTTCATTTAAATTGTAATTTTATTTTATTTCAATTTCTCATTCAACGTAAGAAGTTATGTGCAGACAAATATTTACTTATTTTAATTTTTATCATGTAAAAATTCTTTGGTCTGAAAAATTTTTTTTTCCAATTAACTAATCAATTCATATATTGAGAGTTTTGATGTATATTTAACAAATCATTTGTTTGTTTGTTCGTTAACAAAAAAAAAAAAATTGTATACATATAATTCTGTTATGTAACATTCTCTAACATGCCGCGAACGAACGAAGTTGTACAAGGTATTACTCTGAATCATAATTTTTCCCACTTTCAGTCTCTGTAACTCTGTTATCTCCAGTTACGCACAGATAGTCGCGCTGTGCGGATATTTAAGCTTCATTTGTATCGTTTCAGCCATACTTTAATGTTTATTATAAGAATAAAACAACAATCGTCGAGTCATACTTCGTATATTACTCATGAATCCGATTTTAATCAAATTAATAAAAATATCGAAAAAGGAAGTATTGTTTAAACGAGTCAGCAACTTATTTATTGAAAACAAAAGTTTTGATAAAACTCATTGGATCTCTTATCGAAGATACGCAACTTACAAAATGGAAGCAACAAGTGATCCGTATCGGAGACATCTTTTCGACGATGATACTTTATTCAATGTTTATAAAAATGAATCAATAAACTTATCGGTCGGTGCCCCTGGTCCGGATCTGCTCCAAAATTGTGTAGAACTTATGAAAAGAGCCACAGATCATCGCTTGGTAAAACGTTAAAATATATTTCATGTTTTGTTGTAATATGCTACCAGTGTAATCCAGTGTAGTGCTACTAGTGCACAAAATATATAATTTTCAGGAAGAAGAAAAAAATGAAGGAAAATATTATCTGTTTCAATATGGTGTGACAGCAGGTTTATGGGAGTGCCGTGAAGAATTGTCCAAATTCTTGAGCAGACGTTACGGTGATCCTGTGAAACGAGAAAATTTAATATTAACATGTGGAGCTTCTCATGGCTTAACACTTTTGTTGAATACCATCCTTTCACCAAATGGAGTAATTTTTGTAGAAGAAGTAACTTACATGATAGCCTTAGATACTTTCAAACAATTTCCATTAATGAAAATAGTCACAGGTACCGCCATAATAATTTCATTTTTTCCTGATTGAAACAGTGACCAATATCTTTCTTGTAAAATTATTTAAAGGATCAAACATACATTTTGATAATAATAGAATTTTATCAGTGTACCTAACACGATCAAGTACCTGCCTGATAAGTACCAATTTGATAAATCATTGATGAGTTTTGATTGATTAATGATATATTTGATCAAATTATTTGAGATATATTTTTAATTCTTACGGATTGATTTTTATTAATTACGTAATAAATAAGTAGCATATAGCAGCTAAGTAATGAAAATATATTTTTAATGCAGTACCAATGAAAGACGATGTAGTAGATTTAGATGCATTTGAAAAGATAGTCACAGAAGAAAAATGTAATGGTAATTTTTTAATGAATGAGCAAAAACTATTCTGGGCCATGTTTTACACGATTCCTACTTTTCATAATCCGACTGGGACAACCTTGCCTCCTGGTAAGTTATAAATTATATCTACGTATCATTAAAATTTGCCAAAAATTCAAGATATGACATTAATTTTCTTTTTAATAGAAAGCTGCAAGCGTCTTGTTAAAATAGCACGAATGAATTCTTTATTAGTCGTTTGTGACGATGTATATAATTTATTGCATTATGGAGACGGTTTACCACCACGCCGATTATTCTTTTATGACCAACCAACGGATCCTGAATATAAAAGTGGAAATATTGTATCAAATGGATCATTTTCAAAAATTCTTTCTCCAGCACTTCGTTTTGGATGGATTGAATGTAGCTCACAACTTGCCAGTATCTTTAGAGTTTCGTAAATATATTTGTATGCTGTTCTATATTTTTCATTTCGTCCAATATATATTAAATATAAAGTTTAAATATACAAATGTTCTAAAGAATTATTAGTTCATATTTTACAGAGGAATTTTATGCAGTGGTGGTGCAGTTAATCATTACGGCTCTGGTGTTGTTACAAGTTTATTACAACTAAATCTTCAAGATAATTATCTTGATAAACTGATTGAAACATATAAGGTACGTCTTCTAAGTTAAATTATTTATTAGATATATAATTATAATAATATATCAATATATAAATTTATATAAAAGACAATATAAATTAAAATTAAAAATATTATAAAAATATAGATAAAACATGCATAGATATATTTAAAAATAAACATAATTTATATAGGAACGATTATCAGTATTATGTAATGTATTGGATAAGTATTTACCACAATGTTGTTTATATAAAAAACCAGAAGGTGGTTACTTTGTGTGGATTCATCTACCTTCAGGTAATATATTTTCACCTAAAAATGTTTATTATAGTGAAAAAAATTTCTAATATGTGTAAACAAATTCATTTATAGGAATAAATGGTACTGATTTTGTTCAATGGTGTCAGAAAAAATACAAGGTATCTGCCATACCAGGTATACGATTTTCACATTCAGGAAAATCTCACAACTTTTTACGACTTAGCATAAGTTTTCATAGAAAAGATGTTTTAGAAACTGCTGCAATGGCTCTTTGTAAAGCTCTTTCAGACTATGTTACAGAAAATAATAACTGTATAATATAATAATTTCCCAATGTTATAATATTATAAAGAATAATATAGTAAAAAGAATATTGATACAAACTTGTTTTCCTATCTCTATGAAAATCTTTAAATAGCCATCTAATCTTAAAATTGTTATGAATGCAAAATAAATAATGCAAAGATATGAGATATCGCGAGAAAAAACTTGATAATAGTGTCTACTATGTCATAAACATTTATTATGCATATATACATTGTTTCAAAGTTTCATATCATTACACTAAGTAAAAATGAAACATTTTAGTATAGTTTTATGATTTTATGATTCACCTAAAAGTTCTTTCTGTTTGGCTTTCAATAATTGTTCTGCTTTATCTACATATTGCTTTTGTATAGCACCTATATAATTTTCAGCTTTAAACATCAAGTCTTTCGGTATTCCATCTTGTTTTTTCAGATTTCTGATATGTTCGTTTCTTATATTACCAACAAGATCTTTGCATTTTACAAAGTATTGCTTTGCTATTTTTGCTAAACCTTCTCTGTGTTCCTTAGTGACTCTATTAAATTTAATGATAATATTAATACACTAAATAAAAAATATGAATTTAATTTAATATTAACAAAACTTACTTAGGCAATGGAATATAAATAGTTGTACCATCTTGTTGTGGATTTAAATTCATTTGAGATTTTGATATAGCCTCTACAATATTTGGAATTATTTGTGGAAATGCAGATGCATCCAATACTACCATATTAGATTTTCGATTAATCTCTACAAGCTCTTCAAGATTATGTTCTTCGTCTTCAAATGTTATTGTCAGTTCTTCTATGGCACCTACTCTTGTACGTACTGCTAAGTTTTTAATCATCTCATCTTTGTACTTTTCAATTGCTCCATCAAATTGGGACATCATACGATCTACTTTCACTATATCAGATATTTCATTAAGATTAACGTGTATCACTTGTTTTTTATTGCTAGGTCGATCTTTACTTTTTAATAATATATCACCAGTAGAAAATTTATTTATGTTACATAATTTAGGTGAAAAATTATATAAATTATACAAATTAGTATGTGTATTGGTTGATATTAGTGTATTAGATATATTTCTGGAGTTTTTCAAATAATGTAAACATCTAGCATGTTGTGATAAGGTATTTAATTCTATAATACAAATTCTCAAAAAACTTAAATTCATTATTGCTTGAATACTTAAAAAACGTTATATAGTGAAAATTGATTAGAAATTATTAACAAATAATACTAAAATTCCACTATAAAATTCCGGCAATCGATGCTCAAACTGATACACGATTAATAAGGTTAGAAACCACAGTACTACACTGTACCATATATGTACATATTTATAAAACCTAACCAATTTTTTGTAACTTTAACAGTACTCTAAATTTGAAAGACTAATAAGTATTAGATTATAGCTGAAGTACAGCAGAGTGTGATAGTATACGTTATATTTATTATGTAATTTTAATTTTATTTAAAATATTTTAAATGGTACTCCAATAAATGTTGTATATAATGTGACAAATATAATACGTAACATAAAAAAGTAAGTACTTAATTTTGTTTAAAGTATTTTTCTGCAATATATATATCGGAAAAAAACTATTTTAATAAAATTAATGTAGCTGCTTTAATAAAATTAATGTAACTAATACTTCTTTTATTTATGTTATTAACGTAAATTATTGAAATACCTAACAATATTTTTTGACAGTTTTATGGATTTTTCTGGAAGTTGCTATACTTGATACGTACTGAAGAAAGAAAATTTTGAAAAAAATGCAGTAAAATATGTTGGAAAAAGAAAGTGATTAAAAATTGTATTTACGATTTGTATTTGCAATAGTTATTTATTTTTCTTAATTAAACATATTGATATCTGAGTAAACATATTGTACTGCAAATATATTTATATTTTGTTATTTAAGAGTCTTTTTTATATATTTATATATTTATAAATATGTTCAGTTGAGTTTTTTCTTTACAGATAGTTTAATATAACAGATAACAAGATACTGATATACATTTATTTATGTATCTAAGACAATAGTGCTGTATTAATATAGTTAGAAAGAATTATAAAATAAATACAAATTGTTAAAAATAAGATATATAGACTTATAACAATCTACAATGAGCAAGACACCAGTATCTATTTTACAAGAAATGATGGTGAAAAATCTATCAATACCTGCTTATGAACTTATACATGATGGAGGTGGATCACATATAAATACTTTTACATACCGAGTAACATGTGATGGTCTCACAGCAACTGGTACGGGACGTTCTAAAAAGGATGCAAAACATGAAGCTGCAAAAGCAATGTTAGAAACTATTGCTGAACATAGAGGCTATTTACAATTACCAGCATCACCAGCACAATCACCTGTAAGAACACCTTTACCACCAGTAGTTCCTGAAGTACAAAGAATTCCACCAGATGTACCATTTGTTAATGCAGTTGGTGCTTTACAAGTGAGTAATGTTAACAACGAATAGTATTTAAATCAATACAATATTGTTATTAGTATGCTTATTGTTATAGGATTTATGTGCTGGAAATAATTTAAATGAACCTAAGTATGAGCAAATTAGCGAAGTTGGTCCTCCACATGCAAAAGTTTTCACCATTCAGTGTGAAGTAACCACTTTTACAGAAATTGGTGTTGCAAGAACAAAAAAGCAAGCCAAACAAGATGCTGCTAAAAAGATGTTAGCTAAATTAACAAATTTAGTACCTGAATTAAAAGTATCATGTGACTCAGAATTAATTCAACAAGCAGATATTTCTCACGAAATTGCTAAAACTCGATACCCTATACTTTCAAAGTTACCTATATCTAAAAAAATTAATGTAGGTGTTAAGTTAGCAGAATATCATATTCAGTTAAAGAGCCAGTTTGATGATGAGCTACGCCAAGATTTAATTGAGAAATTATCAGCAATTAGTCCATCATCTGAAAATTCCACAAATAAAACAACATTACTAGCAAAATTTCAAGAGATGTTGATGTCTACTGGTTTAAATATAACAGTCACAACAGTCTCATCTTCAAAGGACATACTTGTAGGCATGACAATAAGTACATCACCTAATATTGTTGAAATAGGATTCGCAAAGACAAGAACAGAAGCTGAATTGGATGCAATATTAAAATTAGTTAATACATTGATACTTCGTTTAAAATAAGAATAGAATAATTACAGATAAAATAAATAAATGTCAAAGAATATCTTGAAAAATATGCAAATTTTCTTCTATTATATTGACATATTTCAAAATTAATAACAATTTATTGACTATCAATTAAAATATTTTAAATATATAATAGTCACAACTGATATTTAGTAATGTAATTAATTTTGAAATATATAAAAAAAATTTATAGTAACAAAATATTTTTGTCCTATTTTAAGTTGTAATATTTCTATTACAGTTTATATTTTTGCTACAAAATAATATAAGCATTTTTCTTTGATATTCCATGACAAATGATAATTGCTTTTTTAATAATGAGTATATTTTTCTAATTCAAAATTATTATAAATATTATAAAACAAATGTTGCAATAACATTAATTTTTTCTATTTAAAATTCTATAATAAATAGAATTTGACATATAAAAATTGATGGATTTATTAGTTTAAAAAATTTAAACCATAAAATCACTCAATAATTGTGTTTCATTTTCTTTTTTTTTTTTTTTTTTTACAGAATTCTAAATTTTCATTCCGAAAAAATCAAGATATATATAAAGAAATAATTTTTGTGCTGAGTATACCATCAATTATGTTTTGTACTTTTTTGGTATTATATTACTTCTGATTATTGCTTTAAGAAAATTTATTAAGGAATGAAAGCGTTTATATATCGCAGTGAAAAATAATTGGATTTACTTTAGAACTAAATTCTATAAATTCTAATTTATAACTAAATATCTTTTATTTTTATTATATTAAAATAAAATTGTGAAATAAGTGATAAAAATTTAATAAAAAATATTTTGAATTTTAAAACTTTAGTTTTTATATTTAATTAAAAAGAAAGAAAAGAGAATAATATTGAATATTCAAATATATTGAAGATCTTAATATTTTTTAAAAAATCTTTCGTTTTGTTAATCGACAGCATGTGATTGCAACTTAACGAATTAAATGGATATCATTAGAGTAGAAGGATGTGTGTTTGAAATATTTCATTTTATTTTATATCGCATAAAAGTGCTACACCTCGTAGCGTCCAGTGTCGAGGATTATGATCAGTTTCAAAATCTATAGATCCGATATACTTGGAATCTGTTCTCTGTGGTTTCCTATATATAGGGCATTCATAAAGTTTCGGATCCTTCCCTGCAGTTGTGTTTATTGCATAAATATAGATTACAGGCATCTGTTCATATAAAACTTTCGGTTTACTTTCTACTAATTTGCTTGTTTTACGATCAAGCGAAGCACCTTCTAAGAACAGGCCATGAACGTATACTCCTTCTTGTGGTGGATTTTTTATGTCTTCTTTATTATATCTTGTGATTAAATTTTGCAATACAACGGAATCAAGAGCCCAACCTTTATGTGCCCGAGTTACTTCCTGTGAAATATAGAGATTTCAGAATTGAACTTGCTATTTAGTACATACCGAACAGTAATTCAGAACGAGATATTACGAATTATACATTTTTAGTTCGTTCGAGACAGTCTATGTCATAAATAGGTGTCATTGTATGTTAAAAGTAAGTGTCATTTATAGTCTAGAAAAATTAATTTTTCGAAGAATTTATATATCTAACTTGTCGCATTGCAGTTAGAAATCCCTGAGGATTGAAGAACCCGGTCATCCAGAAGACCTTGGGTCTGCCATAGGTGATCCATTGTCTGAATTGGTGATCTCGTTCCAGAAGCTCTGTGTACCAAAATCCAAGCGTTGCCGATTCCCAGGAGATCTTCAACCATTTCTCCGGAATGCGAGCGTCGTACATTGAATCGAGTGATTTTCGCAAACCTTGACTCATCACGATGGTACCCTCGATAGCTAACTTCAAATCTGTTAAAGTGCTATGCACCTCTTTAATGACTCTGCTGATTCTGTAGAAATTCGATTGAGGAGCAAATCATCATTAGGTGGAAAAATGAGAGGAACCCAGGGAAATATACCTGTCGATTTCTTGTCTCAAAAATATATTCATAGGTAGCAGCGCACCCATTCGTTGAAGTGCTTCTTTCACTTCGAAAGAATTATATTGTTTCGGTAATTTGACCAGCATGTCATTAGCGAGTTTGTAGACCACATTTTCTCTGGTTTCACCACCTTGTGCACCCCCTTCTTTAGGCTGTACACTCAGAATTGTATCGAGTATTCCTTTTGCCGTGTTTATCTGATAAGTGATGTCCGCGTTTGGATGTAAACCAAATACTTCTGGTGTGTCCGTTGCATGTAAATTGTCGATATAGTCCAAGTATTCTTGGAGGTTTCTCGTCTGTGGCACTTTGTATCCACGGTAAAATTCGAAGCCAGGTCGTAACAGTACATCGCAAAACCAAACATGAGTAAACGTAGTTAACAAACGTTTGTCGAAGTCATCGGTAACTCTGCCACCGTATTGAACCTAAATAGATGTAGGGTAAGTGCAGGATAGTTCGACCACTGGGAGAGACCAGTCAATGTTAGCATTTTAACATTGAAAGAAGAGGAAAATCTGTCTCATTGAGATAAAACAAATGAGTCATTTCGTTGTAAATCTTGCTTCAATTGGCATAAAAGCGTATTTAAGTTATAAATTACATTTGAAGCTTTTAATAGATCTGAAAACTTTTGCATTGCAATTTTAATGATATTCGAAAGATGCTTACAGATTTATCAAATCTGCATAAAATTTTAATAGAATACACATGTATTCATTTTTACTTTACGTTAATAAGATGATTTTGGTATGGTTCGACCACTTTGATTCGGAACAATTCGACCATATTAAATCAATATATACGATAATATTACTACAAATTAACAAAAAATGCCTATTAGAAAAAGAAAATTGAAGAAGAAAGACATACCAATTAATTTTCTTATTCATTGTACTTTAGTCTCATCTGAATGGTTAGAACTGCAGGTGAGACTGGCCAATTGTAGCATTAATGTCTTTTTTTATTGGAAATGAAAAAAAATAATTTTATTAAAATATGATTTACAGATAAATAACACGAATAATATTTAAATTTGTCCAAGATAACAAAAATCTGAAAAAATAATTGTACAATGTTTTTTCAAAAGGTGGTCGAAACTTACCCTAAAATTTTCAGGTACAATAAATTTTTTATTTTCATTTCAGCAGTGTCATGTTTATGATATTTACAACGATGTATTAATTTAATGTAACATCATGTCAAGGACATAATGACAGGAAATATTTAATGGCAAAGTACTTTGACAAATAATTAAATAATTAATAAAACAGACCTCTCCAAGCATATAGCAAACAGTTGGCCACGATACACCTCTCTTTGGATCCATGTCGTCCAAATGGTTCTGTATAAATTGAACGGAAGCAGCAAAGTCAGCCTGATTAAACTCGTATGGTATGTTCCAGCCAAGAGGTCCAAATTTTCTACGTTCTTGCACTACTGTATGTAAGAACGCAACAGCGTATAATAAAGGTGGCCATTGTGACTGCGTGCTATAATCCAACATATCCTGCGTTACTCCTTGGTAAGTTCTCTTCAAGCTGGCTCTAATACCTTGCGGTGGTTCATTGGTAAATTTAATGGCCATCTGAAACGATGTTGATCGTATACGTAATTTTTCTAGATATTATTACATTCTATAAATTATTACAGCTGTAAGAAGAGACCTGAAGTAAACCAATGGGAAATTGCTGATGCACTTCGGTGGTCATCCAAAGTCTAAACGCCTCGTGGACAGTGTCTGTTTCAACCAGAGCGTCCATGACTTCCGTGCAAAAAGGAAGCGACAGGTGAATATTTTGCAACAGTACCCAACTACCAGTGTTCATAGCGTCTGAGATCAATCTTCGAGCGTGAAATTCTTGGCCTTGGCCCATGGACACTGATCGCAGTTCTTAAATATAAATTCCAGTATTAGATAAAATTGCAAACTTTTTCAGAAATTTCACATTTACATAAGCTACATTTCTCAGCTTGCTTACGGATTGATTTTTGTTTCGCCAGTGCAGTAATTTGTGGACTAGGATCTGATCCTATGGACAATATGCATATAAGCGGCGTTCTAACTTCAGACTCTAACCAAGTAGCTTCTAGATCCAAGATCTTGGTTTCCCCGTATTCCTTTCCCAATGATTCGATCACATATTTTCTCGCCTGAGACAAAGTTCTGTCTGGACTCCACGATCTGATCAGAAGCAATTTCCTGAACACGTCGAGTTTCTTCTGATAGCCGCAAGGCAGTTCCTCTTCCTCAGGTTTTTCTCTTTCGTACCACACTCGCCACTCTCTTTCGCTGAATTCGATCTTCGTTAGAATATCTGAGAAGGAGTCCAGTTTGCTGATCTCGACCAAATTCAGCCATGTTATGTCGAGGATCCACTTGAATGGTTTTGGCGTGACTGCGTTTAAATCCAAGGAGGCACCACCTTTGATGAAAGCGTTGAATTCCGCGTGAGAAATGACACCTCGGTGACAGTCTATCTTCATAGCCAGCATCAACGTGAACAGCGATTTGTGTCGTTCGTATAGACTCCTCAAAGTGAAGGCCCACACTTCGTAGGTAAGGTGACGAAGAATTATGTTTATTCGTTCGTTGGTGATGGGACTCTTCACCGATTTGGTGATGGAATTGTCGAATATAGTCAGAAACTGTCGCAATGAATTTTGATACATTACGTTCACGTTACTCATTTCCACAATGAGAAAGTACAAGATAGATCCTCTCGATGCGACAGCGCGGAATTCTTCTCGGGCCAGCATGATTTTCTTTTCTGTCAACGCAGACACCTTTAGTTTTTCATTGACCGATTCTGCGGTTACCTTAGTCTCTCTGAGCACGTTTATAAGCGCTTCGTCGTCCACTAAAGAGCCTTCAGAGGACGTGAGTCGATGTAACAGGGTGCTTTCGAGTTCCTTCATCGATCGTTGATTCGTCATCACAGATTCGAACAGGGCTACCCTTTCGGCCTCCAAATCTGCTTTTTCCATGAGGATCACTCTGCCAAGTAGCTGATCCTCCAAACCTAGCATCGTGACAGTAAAATCGATTATAGACGTTTTCGCTGAAATCTCTGGACTGTACGCGGGATTTGGTAATTTCGTGGTGATGTACAACATGAAACCGGGCATCACGTCGCACTCTTTGTCACCAACGATCACTTTCTCGATGGAGCCTGATTTGATAAAATTCTTCTCGAGCACATTATCGAGAACCGGATCTAGTTCCTCTGCAATGTCTTCTATCAGCAATGGCCTGCCTAAAGACAAACTATCTTCGAGGTGTGTTCTAAAATATTTGTGATTGAGAGACGTGATCTGTAATTCGTTCAAGCATTCCTTGTTCTTTATCCACATTTTTCCTTGATTTTGAGGATCGACTAACAAAGGGTACGAGGAGGACTTAGTTACGACAAGCGCGTTTTGCACAGATAATTCGTCGTTCGGTAATCCTTGGAGCGTCCATTCCGAGATCGTTGCGCTATCCACGAGCATGCTCGTAATATTCAGATTTTTAGTAAAAGGGATAGATTTCGTTGCCAAAATGTTCATCCAAGAAGACACTAGGCCGGCCCTGTACTGTTGATTGTACGGCCCGCAGTACGATAAGAAGCCAGTGGCTAGTAAAACATCTCCAACCAATCGTCCCAGTTGGATCTTGAATTCGCTGCTCTGCTCGGTCCAACGTATCTTCTCGCCACCTAACCCATTGATCAACGCAGTCGCGGCCGTCATTTTCCTAAGGCACACGTTCGCAGCTTCTGTCAACCTTTGTTTCTCCGAAACAGCCGAGTCGTACTGTTCCTTCACCGCTTGCAGAGCCATTTCTCTTTCTGATAGTTCTCTCTCGGCATTTGCTAAATCCTCCATGGCCACCTTAAGTCTTGCTTCTTGCAACGCCAAATTGGCCTTCAGTGGAAGGACCTCCTTATTCACCGAATGGAAAAACGACATGGCTTTCGTCCATGACAATAAGCCAGCCACGTCGCCGCAAACTCGTCTAGCTGTTTCCATATTGTAGTCCTCCATCTTGAAGTAAGGCTGTAGTAACTCGACCATCTCGTTGTTTATTATGTCCTTTGGATAATTTTGCAGTTGAAGCAGGAACGTGGTACTGGCCATTAACTTCAACGATTCTGCCCAGGAAGGCTTCGGACACGGCGCAGTTGTATCCGGAACGACCGGGCCAATTTTACGTTGAAACAGAATCAACACGCAGTCCATGATTCTCATAATAAGATGAGGCGGTCTGCCCAATTTCCTCACAGTGGCTATGTGAGCCGGTTTAATAGTGTTCAAAGCAGCCTCTGCTTCCTCTAACGCCGGTTTAGCTGCTTCCAGTTTCTGTTCAGCCAGAGCTTTCTCCTCCGCTATGCAAGCTACCAATTGTTCAGCTTTCTCCTTCACTTTTTGCACCTGATTTTTGAACGCTTCCGCTTGCATCGCCCTCTCTGTCACTTCCAAGAGGACGGTCTCTGCCTTTTCAGACGCTTGAACCAGTTCTTTCTCCATCACAGCCAGATCTCGTTTTAAGATCTCCACTGATATCGATGCTTCTTCCAGTTTCGCCAAGCCGGTGTCCATTCGCTTGGCCCCTTCGCCGAGTTCGTGCTGTTTGCTTTGGTAGATGTTCTTATAGCCACCGATGAAGTTTAAGTACGATTTTGGCGTGACGTGAGTAGCACGACGAAATCTTTGGAAATACTCCGCGGACGTGACAGAAACGATGTCTTGTATGGAGCCTAAGGCGTTCACCAATTCGACTTTCACTTCGCTGGTGCAAGCTATGTTAAAATCGTGTAGAAAGTGTTTGGCAACCAGGACTAGAGCATCCTTCGGCCAAGGCTGGAACCAGTCGATAGTGCAGCCAGATATAAGAGCTGGGAAACGTTGAGCACGATTTCTGAACTTCTCCCCGACCGGAGAGAAACAGAATACCACGTGTAAATTTTGACAGGTTCTCTGAAGAAAGAAATCCATCACGAGTTCGTTGTTGATCGTTCGTTTCGGATTCTCGCGTCTCAGGATGGGTGTCAATTCCGAGATGATCTCTTGCTGCTCGTCGCGAGTGAACAAGTTACTGATGACCCCCGAGCTTAGAATGTTGTTCAAGTATTCCAAGAAACCCTCCTCTTTAATGTCTAGATCGGTGAATATAAACGTGGTGCCCTTTCCTTGTGCCCCGCACGTTCGATACAAATATCTTAGATCTTCCAAGAAATTTGCCACGTTGTAAGATCTTGTCAGAGTGATTTGAAACGTTTTGTAACCGGCGATGAAGGACGATAACTTCGTGAGACTCTGCTTGCCAGATCCTCCAACGCCTACCAACATCACATTTCCTTTTGGATGTCGGATGACTCTGGATATTTTAACTAAGTGTAGCATGGCGTCGGGGAAGAAAACCAAATCCATGCCCGAGCCTCTTTGCATTTCATTGAATTGGGAGAGAAACATTTCTAATCTGTCTCTGAGAATTTGTTCGTCGTAAACCGGTTCGTAGACTTTTGGTAATTCGACGTCAGTGTCTTCACCTTCCTCACCAGTTGGCTCGGGAGCATCTCTGAAAATTATTGCGTCTATTGTTAATTATAACTTAAGGTAAATTAAGGTAAATTAAGGTAAATTAAGGTAAATTAATAAATCAAGTTAAGTAAATTAAATAAATCAAGTTAAGTTTGGATTATAGTTCCAAGTTAAGTTAAATTAATTTATAAGGTAACAAAGTTAAGTTAAATTAAGTTATAGCGTAAGTTAAAATTATTTAAGAAAAAATTTAGGTATGATTAGAACCGTATAGGCTAAATATAAATAATAATAATTTTTTACCTCATGAAATCTACGAATGCAGGACTTTGGTTGAGCATGCTCGTGTAATCTTCTCCCAACATTTCGTTAACAGCTTTTACAATTTCTTCATCGAACCAATTTTTATCCGCTTGTATGGTGAATCTGTCGCTGAACACGCGACTGCATTCGTGTTTCCACAGCAGCATAAGAACGCTCTGCTTGTCGATGACCGTGGACAGCGTACCGAGCATACCTTGCCAAATTCTCGACAGATCTCGAAGACTGAAGACATAATGAAACTTTGCCGGTGTGGGCAATAAGTTAGTTCTAGTCCTTTCCCAAAGTGTCCTCGTCAGTGGAACCATCTTCTTTATCAGGTTCCTGACTTCTATTGAAAATCCTCTTTTGGCATTATAATGACCCTCACCGAGGACACTGAAGATACGATCAATGGACGCTTTGTCAGGTAGCGTACAATTAAAGATGCAAAATTGTCTCTTTAATCTTTGAGGAATGTCGTTTCTTCCACCGCCTGGTTGACACATTGCTGCCAGAAACGTCATGTCTACGATGCTGGTGAAGTCTCCTGGCTTCTCCAAGGAATAAAACCCTTTCATATCCATTGTTTGACGAACAATCTCGTTGGTTACTTGATCGCCCCACTCGTTTATCTGAGGTAAATTTACATCGTCAATGAAAACCAACATCTTTTTCCCTTCTGCTGGCCCGAACGTGTTACCTAGACGTTTCTCCACGTAACTTTCTATGGTTTTCTGAAACTGATACGGACTCGTAGCCGAGCTGAAGTTAAACGATCTGCTCAACGTGGTCTCCGGGTTCGCCTTCTTCATGTACGACTTCATCATGACAGTTTTCGCGGATCCTTGCTCGCCTATCAGCAAAACTGCTTTATCTTGACGACCAATTAGATCGATTAAGTACTGTATCCTCACGTTGTCGGGGATTGGAACCAATACGTTGCTGTAATCAGGTGTCGAGTACTCTGGATAAACGTAGTTGGTCACTATGCTTGTCCACGTATCCCATTTACCCTTTTCAGTGACGTAGAAATCGAATAATTTCGCCTCAGGATGTTTTTCTGACATTGGCAAGTCTAGACTTTCGAAATTTTGTCGCAGGTAACAGTCATACTTTTCTCTGTCTGATGTTTCTAACAACGCCCCTATACCCCACACTAAAGCGAAAACGTAGAAACGTTTTAGATGTTCGGCTGTCATGGGTTGTCGCTTCTCCTCTTCTGTTTCTTCGTCTTCTTCCTCTTCTATGCATGCTTCGGGTGGAATTAAACCCTCGAGGAGACACAACATCTGTCGCACTATATTGGATTGTAGAACGTCTATGGTCAGTGATAAAGCTTGGGTGCTCCACGAATAAATCTGTAAAAATATCCGTACGTAGATGTTATCGTGATATTTTTCATATTGACTGATTGATTCTTGGTATTTCGTACAATATGTTTAATATTTTTATATTAATTTTTTAATGATATATGAGCAATATTTTTACGATTTCTAAATATTATCAGTCACATTGAGAGAATGTTATGGCACGACAAGCACAGTCAAACACGCACGAATTACTTGAAGAAATTTTTTTTTTTTATTATTTTGAAGATTGTTATAAAAATATGCGATAATGAACATAAATACAAACATACAGTAAGGCATATTTTTCTTCAAATGTAGACTTCTTTATCAATGTTTGAAAAATATAAATTTGTATAAACATCTGCAATTTAATTATAAATAATATTCCCATCAATTAGATTCCCTTACCTGTGCAAAAGAATCTGTAAAACATTGACCGAATACTTCCTGTTCCAAAGGTGTCCGACTTCTCAACCAAGCAGTCACCACAGGATCCCAATCCAATCCTGATGAACTCATGTACACCATCCCGTTACGAGATACTGTCGCTGGACTTGCATTATCGATATTATGAGGCTCAAAGATGATCTTACAGTTAGGCGACATCGACAATCGGTCACCATTTGCAAGAGTCAATGTTTTATTGTCGTCCAGTACAGAATTCAAGTTCTCGATCCATATACTGTCAACAGGTCCGTCAAGAACCATCCATACGTGTTCTTCCTCTTTTAATTTCAACGTTTTCCTCCACAAAGCTGAAAATATCCCGTCTGTCCAATCATTGGTCGCCACGTCCAATCGGCCAAACATTTGCGCGGCTGTTATACTTTTTGGGTTCATTCTCATCTCTCTGTAAGATATGATATTGAATTGGTCTATTATTCCAATTTTGCGTTGCGTTGAAATATTTATAAATAGCTGTGTGCATACGATGATATAGAATAAAATAATTTCTATATGACAAATTAATTTTTATTCTGTAGCGTGTCAAAGAATATTTTTAAATTTGATTATTTGTAGACATCGCATTGCATTGAAGCTACCATCAAAGTTTGATATAGATTTACCAGACAAAATGTAATAAGAAGATTTGCAAGTTTTTTTTACTACAATTTTATATTATATATTATTTAAAAAGTATTTTTAAGAATGTTTATACCTGTGGAAGTCGCCGCACTGCGTTAAAGCTTTCATCAAAATATGTATACAAGTGGTTTTTCCTGCACCAGTCGGACCTAGGGTCATTATCCCGTGTCTCACCCTTTGTGTCTCGTATAATTGTATCAATTTCAACACCCACGGTGGATGGTATATCAATCCAGCTTCTTCTACTTGTTGATTAATGGCAGCTTCTAATTCTGGATAAGAAGTCTTTTCAAGGGCCTGATTTGGAAACAGATCAGCCACCAATGAAATGAACAATGGTTCATCCTCGTCTAAAATATACAACGTAGTTAGACACTTTATGTTGTATAGTTTTTTGCAAATAGTATACTGATATAATTAACGTACCTATGAGTTTCGAAAGATTCATATCTCTTAAAACACGCATAACGATCGTGCTCTCAGAATCTTTAGAGTTTACCCTTTTAGACGCTCCTAATGTTCTTAGCACGGATAATATGTTTCTTAGGCCGAAATCGTAATGAACCTTCGTGAATAAGATGTTCATTGAAACTGTAATTTACATTTGAACGACTTCAATTCGCATCGAAGCGAGTTACCTGTTTCGTAAGTTGTTCCTCGCAGAGTTTATACAGAGTGTAAAATTTCCGAGCAAGCGTGATATTCTCTAGAAAACCACAACTGGCTAGTTTCACTCGAATAATGATTTGTCTATCAGGCACCATCATAGCGACTGTGCGGAATTGTATCTTTAGATTCTCCGGAAGTTCCTTTCTGCCAGCATATCCGGGATTCTGCAACGTTTATTTCCTTCATTACATTTTTAACTCTTAAAGTATGTCTCATCTTAGTAGTCTCGTTAAAATTAATTAATTAATTGACTTTTTTTACCATTGTTATAAATATTCCAAGCTCAGGGCACATGTCTATCAAATCGCCATCTGTAAAGACGAACTGCTTCTTCTTCTCCTTCTTCGCCGCCAGGACAACTGCAACTTGTTGAGCAGCGACAGACAACACCGGTAACTCAATTCTGTTGAATTCATCGAAGCAACCCCAAGAACCGCTTTGTGCTAGTCCTTTGTAGATTCGTCCTAATCCTCTGTAATCCATTTGATCAGAACAATTGAACACTACTACATATTTGGCCAAAGTTTTGCCCATATCCTTGACAGTTTCAGTTTTGCCTGTTCCGGCTGGCCCACAGGGTGAACCACCCATAGACATTGACAATGCTTGTGCTAAAGTTATGTAACATCTAGAAATATAAAATAAAAAGGTAACTAAAATTTTAGATTAAGATTCATTGTTATTTGAATTTCTCTTCACATAGTTACCTGTCTGTTAATGGAGTAATCACAAGTCTTTCTGTGCATCCTAGATATTCGTTTTGATATGTGAAATTTACGTCTGTTATGGAGATCGACGTTTTGTCGAGGTCTTCTTTGAAGTAAAATCTGCATTGCTTCAACCATTCAAAATCGTTCACCGATCTTACATTCAAACGACACTGTGCATGAAAATTCACAAATTAATGTTCTTTGGGGGCGAGTAAAAATAGAATTTCATTTATTGAAACTTGTAATAGAAGCTTTTACTAATCTCTAATGGTCGAAGTGAAAATTTTATTTTTGAGAAAAATAAGACTAACTCTTTATATTTTTTTATTGTCTAAAATAATAATTTTATATCAAATGTTGTGTTTTATTTAAGCTGTTCTTGTTCTATTATTTACTTGAAACATAGTGCACTGCTACTTATGAAATATTTCACATTGTTAATATGAATAAAATAATTGATTGGTTTCCTTTCACTTACTAATATATCAAATATATCACGTTGGTGTACGTGAATCGTTATCAAAGTTTCAAATTTCGTCCTCTCAATTTTCGCGAGATCTCTGGTAGTCTGATCGATCAACGTATTCAATAAATCCAGGAATCGGTTGTTTGTTTCCGCCATAATCTTTTTATCCGCACGAGCTTGGGCCAAAGCTAGCTCACTGTCTCTAGTCCAAATCATCTGTATTCCCAGCAAACCAACCTGGGCGGGCATTTTGTCCAAGAACGTAAGCAGATTAAAGTTTGCATCGTTGATCATGGCATGAGACTGCCGGATTATCGAGTGCAAGGATTGTTGCGACGTTTGCAAAAGTTGCGTTAACCACGTCTCCACTGAGCCTTCTGCTCTTACAACCTTCTCCAGCTACGTTTAAAAAAATATCACTCATTGTTATTTTTGACAGAAATTTGTTAGTAGTATTAGAAATTTTGTCTATAATGAATTTTTCAATTTTCTATTGCGCATTTATGAAAGATTTAACGGTGACAAAATCCATATAATACGTAGAAACAGATAAAATGTTCAAAGTGTAGAAAATAAATTTTTTAAATTTTTACATGTGTTCGCGAAAGTATAATATATGTAGGCGTACCAAGATCGTTTCACCTTCCGACGAAATAATGGCCATCATTTTGTTATACTCGATATCGTGAAACTTTACATAACGCGTATTGTCGAAGATAGACAGCAGGTGATTCTGTATCGTATGAGAATCGGAAGCTTGACCAAGTATCTCCAACAGAGCAGGATCTGATACAAAGAAGAACCTTGGAAACATCATACGCTTCTTTTCTAGATATCTGCAATCATATTGATTCGTTGTAATAATTACATCTTTGCTAGTGTGTAAAATAAAAAAAATTGTTACTTTGGATATATTTGAATTTAATTTGCATTTATATTGCTACAAAACAACGCATTTTATAAATCTTATATCGTGAATTTACGTATTTATACATTCGTCATTGTAAGTATGCATAGGAACTGTCTGACATATCATGGTTCGCGGACTATTCTACTTGAAGTCGCGTAACGCCGAGTTGGACTGTTGTTTCTCTTGAATAATGTATCTTTATTTGCATACTTTACTAACGTACAATATTTTCCAAAATGAACTAAGATACTCGCATGTATTTTTAAAAAAACACATAAATAAACTTTTATGTTCTTTATCATATTATAAACTTGTCTGTTCCTTGACGCTTTAATTTCTCTCTGTTGTAACTTTTATATGTCAGTCTATTGTTCTATTATAGTTCTATTGTTAATATGATGAATTTTATGCATTCATAAGAAAAGAATCAAAAAGAATATACATAGACTACACATAATATATATAAAAATATACAATCTCCGGCTAAATTTTACTGTAGTCTAACTTATATTATTATTAATAACCTAATTAATTAAATCAATTATTATTAATTAATTAAATTAATTATTATTAATTATTATTTATTAATTAAATTAATTATTATTATTAATTAATTAAATTAATTATTATTAATTACATACACACCCACTAAGAGATTTCTGACACAATTCAAGCTGCTCCTGCAAGTGTGGCAAAAGTTGCTTCAGCAAATCATCTCCCACGCAACATGGCACCACTCCCGGAGTCTCGTGCGCTCTCTGCATGATTTTCTGCCAGCTCTTATCGATCTTGCTAAACCGTTTCGCTTCTTTCGGCAATTGTTTCGCTATGTCACCGCCAACGAACACCGCTTCCAAATAAACCCACATGTTCTGCACCAGCAGCCATCTTTCCAAGATCTCGTTGGTGTTCGAGAGATCGTTGAGCCACTGCTGTATCTGTTTACGGAATGGCGCGTTGTATCGATTCGACATCAACGATCCAAGCACCATCAGACTGTCTTCCAGTTGGCCGATCGTCTCAGCAGTGGTATCTCCCCTCAGTAATAATTCCCCTCTATTGTTGAACGTCATGAACGTCAACTCGTGAGAGGACCATTCGTTCACCACGGTCCTCAATTTAGCTTCGATGTCCTTCTCTTTCATAGCCGAGATGCAAATGTCCTCGATGTCTTCTTTATACTTCAACAGAGGCGCCTCCAGGATATTCTTCAGGCAGAAACCCTCGCTTTCGAGGTCAAAGGAATAGCCCGTCACTTCTACGATCCTGTGCCAGTGGCGAGGTTTCATGGCTTTGTTGGCCATTAATTCCAGAAGCGGACACATGTCGTTAAAGTCGTCGATGGTCTTTTTCAGGGCGAAGAATGCTGGCCATTCTTTCAAGCCTTTCGGAAGTTTGCGGCAGCGGTTTTGGAATTCCATTAGCTCGTTGTTTATGTCTTCGATATTTACCTGAACATTGCCTTCGTGTTAAACGTGACGTAAAATTATTTCGATACGTTACGACGAACGACACGTGTCGTCAATATTAAGTGTGATACGTGATCAATATCTATCGCGAATGATTATTACCAATACAGCATATAAAATTTAAAATTTAAAATTTTCTCATTTAAATGTTAGTTATTAGAATTATATAATTTGAATATATTTTGATTCAATGTTCCAATTTTTATTGAAATTAAATTACTAATTACCGTATTTCTGACGAAAGAGAATTAAGAAAATTACAATTATTCTATAAAATTTTGTACGAGTTACTATTCATACAGAATGAGTCATAAAAGTATTTGAACACTTGCCACAGAAAATTCTAATAAATACTTTCACGAGTCGCTTTAGATGTTAATTTTTGAAAAAAAAAAAAAAGAGATACTTCACCTCGCCCCACGGAATATCGTAGTAGCTGTTCACTCTATCGATAACGTCATTGTACAATTTGTACAATTTCTGAAGTAAATTCAGCTCCTTCCTAATTTGCGACAGTTCAGGATAATCGGTCGTAGGCAAACCAAATAGTTCTTCACCGCTCTGATAAGTCTGCAATTTCCTCCACATGCCATCGAATCTGTTCTGGAACAATATCTGTCTGTCTGAAGCTTCTCTCGGACTGAGACCCGGCTGCATAGGCCCGGAAGATCTATATTCCTCGCAGTACATCCTGCTATCTGTACGAAAGTTCTCCAGATTGTTTCGAAGATCTTCCTCAAACTGCGGCTGCAGCCTCAGCAACAACACGTGACTTTCTTGGGCTCTTGCGAGCAGCTGTTGCCACGTATACCTCAAATTGTCCACCTGTTCCAGACATTCTTGATCCACTGGCACTTCATACCTCGTGACGATGTTGAAAGCCTCCTCGATCGGATCGATTTTCAGCTCCATGTCAACTTCCTGCTCCCGAATTTTCTTCAACGTGTCCATAATAAGCCGCACGTCGTCGAGATCGCGTATCTGACGATCCAATTTACGCTCCATTTCGTTCATTAACGCGTAAACGTACTCCATTTCGCGTCGATACTTCTTTTTCATCGCTTGGCCAATTTTGTGCGTGCAGGCTGTGAACATTTGCGTCAGAAAAGTAATTTTTTTTTCTTTTGTATTTTTTGCAGTAGCTTATTTTAGCTTAATGATATCTATTATTCTTCCGAAGTGACGATTGAGGGTCAGAAAATGATTGAAAAATAATTTTGTTTCGCGAAGCTTTAGCAACACATTGCACGTTACTTTTTTCTACATTTAAATTTTCTACAACTTGTGTTGATGTTATTTTTACCCTTGATTTCGGTGTACAAGCCATATTTCAGTTTCTCCGTGGAGACAGCGATGGAACTTCCGAAAATGATCGTGTCAGGCTCGGTTGCTAAGAGATCTTCGAGTTCACTATGCTTTCGAAGAGTAGTCTCGAATTCGGACAAAGAGATCTGTAGCAATTCCCGCATACTTTTCTCATTCTTCCACAGAAACTTGTACGGCTTCCATCTGTCGATAAATTCTACAAGGTCCTGCAATAATTATTAGAAAACTAGTATCGAAATGAAAAGTATATGAAAGTTGTATTAAGATAAGCTATACGTGACATTGATTGATAATTAATAATTCATTGCAAAATAATATTCACGGAAATGTATGATTTATTACCGATTTGAACTCTTGCATACACGTATTTAGTATGGATAACAGTTTCATCACTTCCTTGTTGTCCATCACCATGGCGTGAAAATTCCGTTCTTGAACAGGAAACATTAGCCTCTCCTCAGAGATAATTTTGTACAATCTTCGCCTTCTAACTCTTGGATCTTCCGGTTCCTCTTTCTTCTTCGCTGCTTGCATCTGAGCGCGCATTACGATGTCTGCGAAATTCTTTCTTGGATAAACTTGACCCCATGTGTTCTGCATTGTTAAAAAAATATTTCGTATTACGTGTTTAAACATAGAAGCTATTAGTATTAAAATCATCAATTCTGAATTTCTCGTAGAAATTAAAGTTAAATTTATGTGAACTTTTATGAAAATATACGAATAAAATATTTCTCCTTGTATTATTCATTCTTCCACATACCTTTCGTTTTAATTTGTTTTCGCAAAAGTTTATTGCTAATTGTTGGTAGTTCCAATATTTCATAAAACGAAAATATTGCACGGTTCCATATTTTTTAAAACATATATGTACCTTATTAGTTCTAGAGTTCCATTGCGACACTCCTCTTGCAACACCGACAATAGTTTTCCCAACCAAAGTTAAGACTTCCTGCACGTCGTCCAAGCTAGGTTTCACGGTCACTACCGGTATCATCAACGTTGCATGAAGCAGAAATATTGGACACGGTGTCTCGTCTGTTCGAAGAATAATTATTAATTCACGCAAAACTTCCGCCGATGTATCCATATTTCATTGAGCAGAAAGGCACCTGGATCGATTTCTCGAATGAATCGCTTCCTAATGACGTCCAATGAACTTCTGGTGACCTTTATCAGAACATCTACGACCTTTCTGGAGTAATATCTTCTCATTTCGGTCACGGCATTTCTAACCATGTCTTGCATTCCTTTCGGTAGACTACCAGGAGTGATCAACAGCTGATGAGGATCGTCAAACAAATTCCACACCAAGGACCAGTCTTGTTGGACTGTTTGCTCTACTGTTTCTTCATTTTCTGTAGCCACGTTGTGTAAATAAATAAATGAAATTGTAAAATGTATCGTATAAAAAGATGATAAGGATTTTTATAAAGAAATTATTCAGAAATATATTATGCAAATAATTTATAATTTAAAAGAAATAATTTTTATAAAGGAATTATTCAGAAATACATTATACAAATAATTTATAATTTAAAAAAAAAATACAGGGAATTATCCTCTTGTAAAATTTTATAGAAGGATCTAAGAAAGATCCTTAGATTACAAAAATTGCATTTGTATGATAAAAATATAAAATTTAATTTTTGAAGAAATGTAGAAAAATATAAAATTTAATTTTTGAAGAAATGTAGAAAAATATAAAATTTAATGAAAGAAAAGTTTGCGAGATAATGTGCATCACCTTCGGTATTGAAAAATTCGAATTGATTGGAATTAGCGGCTCCTTTGAAATTCTCTGCCGCATTCTTAACGAGATCCAGCACTTCCTCTACAGCCTCTTCCACCATCATACTCTTGCGATATAAATCTACCGCTGCGAGTCTGCATACTTCTTCGGTCTTCTCTACGAATTCTTCTATGGTCCAGAGTTGATCAGATTCTGGCATAGAATGTAATGTTATCTTCTGCATAGCTGTCAATACTTGCAGAATCCTTGCAACAGACGAAAGAATACTTGTATATTTACCGAATGAAAACAGACAGACTTCTTATCATTAAAAAATAAATTTCAATGTTGGTACAATTATTATTAGACTGTGGGATTTTATGAAAATTTAGTTTCATCTATTAACTAAACTTAATGTACTTTTTCATCTTTAAATTTATATGTATAAAAATTCTTAATTTAATTATTATATATATGTTAAATTAAATTAGGAATTTTTATACATTTAAAATCATATATATCTATATGTGTACAAAAAAATACTTTTTTCTCATAAGAATTTGTATAATTTGCAAAACTAAATAAAGTAATATAAAAAGTATAAAGCACATATATAAGCAACATAAAACATGTCTGTCTTAAAAAAAGTCTCACAAAAATTAGAAAAATATGATTCACAGAACATTCACACAGAAAGTATACCTATTATCATAGACATCGTGAACCCTTGTAATAAGAATATCAAACTCCTTGATCTGCTCTTTCGTGTTCTGATAAAATTCTCTCCACTCTGGGTTGGTCCAATTCAAAGAAGTCAAACCAGGTTCCAGCAAGGATGCAACCCGCACCAAATGCGGTAATAACAACGGTCTCACTTCTAGTTTCACGCGTCTTGCCGTGAACACGAACTCTTCGATCATCAGTTGAAGAGAATTTGTCACCAATGTAAAGTAATCTTTCTTTGCCAGGATTGTTAATGCGACGATAGGTATTTCGAGGTTCAATTTAGCCAAGCAATCAGCCTCTCGGAGCAAAAGAGTGATGCGACCTCCTAAATTGACTTTGATTTTTCCTGTCTTCTCGTCCACCGTCAGCAAAGGCCTGGATCGATCATATAATATATTTATTTATTTGAATTGGATTAGAATTGAAAGGGAACCAATTGATCTGTTAAACGGCGAGGAAGTGTCGAAATAGAATTAATTAATGCGGTTTCTCGTTGTAAGAGATTCAAATACCGTTTCAAACAGTCTTCGATGACCCAGGAGTTCTGATGAGTCCAGACTTCAGCAATGTCCGACTTATACTGGCTCAAAATGCTGAGAGCGTGATTATATCTTTTTTCTAATTCCACAGTCAGTGGAAGATTTTTGAGGACTGGATGATTAGAGACCGATGTAGCCAATTCGTCCAAGTGTACTCTAAATAGAAAATAATTCGGATCGGTGACAGGAAAAAAATGAAAAAAGTTAGATAATAAAGGATAAGATTTTTCATAATTTACTTCAACGAATTTGCCCAGGTTAATCTTCCAGCGATAGCAGGCATGTGTCTCGGCAACGGAGGATCATCCCTCTGCCTTTTGAATAATTTCAATATCCTGTCCACCTCTTTGTCACAATATTTTACTACTATGTTGTACTTTTCATCTAGTTTCGTTAGCGGTATTTTTTCACTGACCTTGGGAGCAAACAAATTAATTAAAATATCAAACACTTAAAAGATCTGAAAATTAAGATATCAAGGTATTAATAAATTTATGAAATGAATAATTTTAAAATTGGCTCGGACACAAGTTAATTTGTAATTAGTTTTGCATGCAATAAGTGTATCAATCGTGATAATTGTGTAAATTCTCGTGCGTTATTAGTCGACAATAATGCATCACTTCACTTTTTCGAAACGAGTTAAAAATCGTATACCCTGAAGTGTTTCCCAAACGTCCGCGTAATTGTTTTCAATAATATTACCGATGTTCTGTTTTAGGGTATCGGTTTTTGTCATGAAGTCGTTGTAATCCGTGTCAAATTCACTATTCCTCGGGTCCAGATAATCGTAACCTTTAGTGGTAGCAATTTTCTCAGCCTCTTCGAAAGTTCTTATAGCATCGTCCAATGCTATCGAAATAAAAAAAATCAAAAGAATTATACTCGCGGCACCTATAAATTAAAAATGAAATTATATACCATCTATGAAAATTATATCTCACCTTCTCCCAATAAGAGACCCTCCATCCTTCTTTCGAAAAGGCTTTTGTAATCCTGTATCAATTCGAACATAGTCAAAATCTTTCTTATTCTGTCGCAAAATAAATCGAACCTTCCGAACACGTGAGTCTCTGAAAACGAGAACTCCTGCTCGGTTACAGCTGGAGAACATCGAACCAATCTGTAAGTTTCTCTGTAAGCCCTAGAAATTATTGATACTATATATAAAAAAAGAAGAAACGACAAATCAGCAAGTAAAAAGTTTCTACTATGATTTTGAAACATTCTGGACACATCAATTTTTCTTTCATACGTCAAAAATCAGACATTACTTGTTCAGTTTTAAACAGTGCTTTAGCTTCGATCGTGCAACCGCACGATCTTGACCCCAAACGGTTTCTCGACTCCTGTTCGTGACATAATCTCGACAAGCAACGATCATTTGGTTCGTGATCTTTATCATTAACGAACTAGTTCGTTCCGACGTGTTGTAATATCTCGAGACACTGTATATTAAACGAACTGTTTGCAACAACGACACAAGGGAATCTCTCATTTTCACCTGAAAAATATACTTATATATATATATTTCATATGGAGGTTTAGAGTCGCATCGACTGCGAAGTCTTTAGCGACACTTATACATTAATCGAGCAATTATATTATAATATAATTATATTCTATGTATACGTGTAACGATAACACGTTATCTCACTGGATCATCCAAATACAGACAGTGGCAGCATTTTTCCAACGCCTGTATAAACTTAGCGTTGTCTTTAGCTTCGTTGTAACAATATGTGACTTCATCCTCCGCGTCGACCCAATCTTTTATCAACTTCGAGCGTGCAACTTGCAAGCAAAGAAGCGACATTCGTATCTCGTGATCCTGAATATTTGTACGTAAGCATAGTATAAATGATCTGTTTATTGTTGCGTTTGATAAAAACGCGGCATGGGAATGCAAATGAAACCTGAAGTTTGTTGACTAGCTGACTGAATTGGGCTCCTCTTCGTTTCCAATATTCCAACTCTTGTTGAGGACCGGAATTATCATTTTCTCGCTTCACCTGTTTGCTCTCCACCATGAAGTCCTTCAATCTCTTGATCCACGCTCTTACTTTCTCTTCCACGATGTTCACGGCATTTTCTTTGGCTACAAACGCTTTCGCTTCCTCGAAATTATGCACTTCATTCATCAGAGCTACGTCGTCGTCGAATATACGCCCTTCGTGAGCTACTTGTTCACACACTGCAGAAATATGGGAAATACGTTTTTTATATAGTTATTCCTTTACTGTTAAAAATCAATGTGCATGTTTCATTTGTATCTTCATAATTGTTACCTTTTAGAGCACTGCAGAAAGATCTTAAACCAGGTAACAGAAGGCTCTTAATCATCGGGCAATCGTCCTCTCCTTCAGAGCCAGGGTGCGCAAGAGCATCCATGAAAACATACTCCACCACTCTCTGTATCGCTGTTATTATTCCCACCTTCATTGTGTCTATCACACCCGTATAAAGATCTTTCTGGAAACCTTCCTCGGGTAATTGTTTCGAGACATTTAATCTAACGAAAGTTCCATGCTTATATATCAGTGAAACGTAAATGCAAATTGCATTGTATACTAGGCACATTATATTATGTTTGTACCTGAACATATAAATGCATATTCCAGTGCAAGGAACTTGCCACCCATCGGTGAGAAACAACTTCATTTTGCCTGGTTCCTTCACTTCCTTCTGTTCCTTCACTTTTGGCGCCGACGTGTTCGGGCCTGGTCTGGAGGTCGAGGTTTTCATTTGCATCTGCAGAAAATATAATTCCACAGTGAATCTCTGGACCACTGATGAATATGAAATATGAAAGTGCAAAAGTTTCAGCTTTTCTCTCTCTCTCTCTCTCTCTCTCACTCTCTTTTGAAAATAAAGATTTGACCATTTCTGTGGGACGCAGAGGTTCAGACTCCTCCGCTTCCTGATAATACCAGACGAGGGTGGATTTCATATGGGGCAGAAACAGTTGATTGATTTCGTCGAGCATGTCCCCTTCGAAAACGTGATCCATGACCTCGTGGCGGGACAGCTGCGTAGCGTCCATCAAGAGTTGAAAGGCAAATTCCAAACGGGGATCCATCTCCCCACGTCTCGCCTTTCTCTCGCATTCTTCTCGCCGTTTCTACGAAGAATGGCAAGAATATTATTGTCGTAAAAAAATTATCGTCCGCGATATTAATTCTGTGTTATGCCCCGTGATCGTAGAGTCAGTAGTAGCGCTCTGTCATCGGTCGGACATGAAGCTGCGCGTGTACCTTTTTCTACTTAGTATATATTATTTATTGAAACTGTGTCGCAGTTTGAACAATTTGTGAATTATTACGATTCACACGATAATTGTTGAATCATTGCAAAAATTGGTGAAACTATATTATGCGTTCAAGTTACAAAAATTGTTTAATTCCACAAGGGAGGGATTTTATGAACCTACGTCTGTTGGAAAAAAGCTTAGATCTATTATTAATAATTATCTAATTTAATATTAATAATTATCTAATTAATTTAAGTATTTAACTCAAATGTTCGAATAATGAATACTGCAATTACGACGACGTTTCATTGTTGAATAATCTGATGATCAATAGATTGTAAATTTTCATGCATTTAAGAAAAATCTGCAAGATGCAAAAATGCATGGAACACAGTATGAAAAATTACGTAAAATATTCAAAATTAAATATTCATAGGCAATGCAATGTCTTATTCGAGATTACAGTTTTTTAACTGTATTCATAAAAGAAAAAGAAGTGAATCTGTAGTAATGTGACTTGCTCAGTTAACAGTCAAGTTAACGAAATAGAAATATTACAACGAAGTAATAAATTAATAACGAAGAGGAGAAAGAACGATCAACCTGCAGGACATCACCGGTTCCTTCTTCGTCACTGCCTTCTTCAGAGTTCTCTGACTTTTGTTGAATCAACAAGGCAGGAGCTTGCACGAACATATTGCCGAACGAATTAAACAGCGACAAAATTACACGATAGGCGACAAAATTACACGATAAACGAATGGATAACGCGATGACGGGATTCAACGATGATCGTACTGGCAGACTGAAAGGGTTTCTAAATGGTGTAAGGAACGAACACCCAGTGCCACGAGTTCGTGTCTGGTACCGCCCTTCTACGTATCGTTCGTGTCGTGTGGGAATTTCCGCGCGATTCTCTCGACGGTAGTCGATACTGATATAAACTGACATAGTGTGGTATTCTTCTTCCGATGTCGCGAAACAGTTGCTACAACGGTGAATACATTGACAACAATGGTGAATTACATCGTGCACGTTTTAACAGTAGAATTACCAACGATTAGAGTAGAAAATTTTCATTTCATACATTAAGAAGAAATTGAAGTGCGAGAAATAAGAAAACGTTTGCGATACAATGAAGAACACAAGCTCCTATTGTCACTTCTTATTACGAATCTTAAATTATGAATTCTAGTGTTAAGACTCTGGTCATCAGTTGATTTTGCTTTACATATTTTTTGAAATAACGATTGTCCTAATTATTATACAGTGAGTATTTCTCATTTGAGGATCCAGTAGCTGGTGGAGCTAACATTTTTGGAACGAACATTACGTATGAAGTATTTGCACGTAATCTCGTCTTATGAAATGTTCTTTTGCTTTTGTCTTTCTTACTATTTGCTAATAGTTAAATGGTGGTGGCGTAGATTCTTTAACGAAAGTTGAACGATATTTTTTATGTTTTAAAATTTAGATAGGTGCCTCGTATATAGTGTTCTGTCATCTTTTGCAGTATCATTTGTATTTATTGCATGGATTGACTCTGCAAAAAACAATTCAATTAATGGTACATAAAATACTGATTTCGCATCAATAAATATAATTGCAAGCACAATTATTAGCGCTGGTATTATTCTACACGTGTAATGTATATGTATCTTTGATGCTACAGTTATATTATGTGCTATATATTTTGTTTGTATAAATACAATTATTATTTATACACGTAGCAATTAAATGCATATGCCATAATAAAAGATGTATATATGGCACAAATAAATGCATTAATAAATACTTCTCAGAGCACATTCTAAAAATAATAAGTAAAATTAAAGTTAAAAGCAAAAGTAAAAATTGGACTGGATCACTATATATAATATTATCTATTTAAAGTTAATTAAAATTTAACGATTGCAATTTCAATCGATCACCTGCGGTATTATAAATACCTTTCAGTTCATCCTCTTCGCTTGTCAACAATTTCATCTTTATCGATGATTGGAAAAGGAACAAATTACTCACGAAAATTGCACGTTCCACGCGATCGGTTATATTAAATAACTCAGGTCGTTATCAACAAACAAACAAAACTATTATTTTCTGCATGATTGTTCCTTGCGACTCATCGATCAAACCCGGTACTAAATACGATTCGTATCGTATTAGCTGACGAGCACGCGAATATCCACTTAACACGAAGATCGAGAGCAACGTTTATCGTTAATCAATCAACGTGCCAATATTTGAACAACATTCGCTCGTTATATCTCGGTTATATTTCCCGAATTTATCGGTACGAGCCTCGATACGAAAGGAACTGTGTGTTTCTTACTAGCGTAGGAATTTACCGCGTCGATTCACGTGGACGCGATAAAATCAAAATCACACGAGCCTTAAAACGAATCTCGCGTGAAGCAACGGTGAAAATTTGGAAAGCCTGGAGTATCGTGCTCGTTATCTAATCGAGATCTAAGGGCACCAATCCCGAAAGAACAATCCGGCCAAATCGTTCGTGCGAAATGGAATTCTTATTTACCATCTCCTTGGCAACCGCTCGTTACCGCGTTAATTACCATGTTAATCGTTTAACTTTGTCCCCAACGCGAAACACCCGTTAATTCAATTCGAACGTCTCCCATTCTTACTTTGGCTTCCTCGGTGGTTTCCATCATCACCAATTACAGATTCTTCTTCTCCACTCTCTTCCTTCACGCTTCCACGATTTCGAACAACCCACGCCCTTATGCAGTCCACGCCGTAATGCGACATTAACTCTGTTACCAAGTCTCTTAGCTAACAATGCTTTCGTGTCTCGCTTCTCCGCCACCCCTTTGTTTCTACTCCCTACTGCAGCTATTAGCTTGTATATCATTACCGTGTTGTTAACCCCTTGGCGATGAACCTACCAAAACAATCAAAATTCGTGATTTTCTTTTTTTATAGAAACTTGACAGATCCGAAAATGGCATATATCTAGGGATCTGAATAATATTTTTCTAAAATATACGAGTGAAAGTTTGTACTCATTATTTTTTTCTTATTTTCTGAAGTTTTGTACTTTCCTGAATTTTCCTTCGCTCATGAATGGAATAATTAAATTAATTAAAGTAACCAATTAATTTCTTTTGTGACAGGAATAAAATCAAACGATTAACGAAACGTTGGGATGTATGAAATTTATTGCATACTTAACGGTGTAATATTTCGTATTTTGGAAAGAAGAAGAAAAATCAGGAAATGTATTAAAAAGTAGATAAGATATTCAGAGAAAGTATTTCGAAGGAAGATTTTATCGAGCGAGGAAGTATTATCGTGACAAGGAGAGAGATAAGGTACGAGTAAGAATAGATAATGATAGATTTATCAACCAGTATAGTTCTTTGTTCTTTGTCTCGAAGGTAGGAAACCCTCTTATCATTGCGTTGTTCTCAATGTTACCGATTCAGCATAAGAATAAGATTACAACATTAGCAGTGGTTGGAATTAAAACTAAATATTACAGAGAAATTAAGGAGAGATACAAAACATGTAGCATTTGCTTTTATACTTTCCTATTTTACAAGTTTAATATTCTACAAGTTAAATTTTTCAAAGTCATTTAATTGACATATCCTTTGAAATAATTGTTTTGGACTTTAGTACACTCTTTTTTGTAAGACAAGGAATTATATTAATTGTGCATAAATATTATTGGAATTTACTACTTAGTTTAGAACTTACTGTCAAAATGGTGTATTTATAGTGTGAATTGTAAAAGACTAATTAAATGGAACATATAAAGATACGTATTTTCTTTCTCTTTTTCATATAACTTTACATTAACCATTTCTTGACCTAGATTTTGATTGTTCAAAATCTTATAATATAATTCTCATCCTTTGATAACCAATCCGTCGTCAATACTGCAACTATCCTCAAGATAGCATCACTGGAGCATAGTATTCTCTACTCTAATATGGAACAAACGAATGTAAAAAATCTGTGATATAAATTTCAAAATTATCATATTCTTTCAAATTCTTGTCCTTAATTTCTTTACCATAATACCATAATTCATCTCTTTAAATTCAACATTAAACTCTAAATCAAACTAATTAATTAATTTTTTTAATTCTCACTTATTATTCATTTACTACTCCAAACGTTTGAATAAAAAGCACATCTGGCGTTAAAAGAACTTCAAAATAAAATGATTTTGCATCAAAGAGAAATCTTATTTGTGAAAAATTTTAAAAACATTTACAGGAAAGTCGAATATTTGTTACAATATTTAATACACGAAACAGAATTCTGCCTAAATTCCATTTCTCGAATCACGTTCACAAAAATCCAAGTTTACTCGTACATTCGTACTCGTCGTGAACGTGGAAAAAATCTGCGACATTTCGAGAGGGAAAGATTCCCTCGAATTATCCCTTTATTCAAATTCTCCTAGACAAGAAGAATCTAAAGAAGAAGAAGAAAAAAAAAAACATCCCTGAAACAAGTCTCTACTCTATCTCCGCCTCCCCTAAAGCGAGCCAGAAAACAACCGGGAGGCAATAAATCGGCCAAAAAGGGAAATCAAGAAGCTCCATCGCGTTCGTATGTATCCGAGGAGCGCAGCGAGAGAAGGAAATGGCCGAGCGGCGTGGAAGATTTGCACACGCGGGCAATAAAATGGTATCGATCAGTCGATGAGAACAATGGAGGAGGCTGGCAAGAATTCAAAAGTTTGCCGTAGCAAGTATCGTTCCGTTTTCCAGGAAGCCAGTCCGATGGAAGGGGTTTTCGACCTTATTCCACAGCCTCGTGGTTGCTGCCGGCTCGCGGACCAGCGGCCGCCTCTGTGTATCGACTAATGTCGGCGTATTGACTAATGACTGGCGCGCTGCTGCAAGTAGTACCACTCCGTGTCAGGACGGACACACTCGAGAGAGAGAGAGAGAGAGAGAGAGAGAGAGAGAGAGAGAGAGAGAGAGAAGCTGTGGCCGTATTTACGGCGCGCGTCCGCCGCCCAACACCAGGGGTTAAGGCGCATTTATGTAACACGTTGGCGAGGGGCTCCTTCGTCGTCGCGCGACCTACATTTCCTGGCCAATGTCTGGGGGAAAAAGAAAGGGTCATGAACGTGCGAACGGAGCTGACGCGCGCGCGAATGTTTGCGGGAGGAAACAGGTGTATCTCATTTTATTACTATCTACAGATATCGCTTCGATACTTGTTACATAGCTCGTTGCACTTTTATATTCGTTCGAAGAGTTCTTCGATGCATGCGCAAAGCGAAATGATAAAATAGCACTCTGGTGAATCTTGAATATTTACGGAGATTCCTGCTGATTCCTTTGTTTCAGATTACCGTAACATTATCTGGAAATCTTGTGAAATTATAGTGTCTATGTGGAAGACAGATTGAAGAGCTTGGAACTTTCTTTCGTTGCCTCGGTACTGGAAAATAGATAATTCCAAAGACGTATAAATAAATTTGTTGAAGAAGATTTCATTTCATTTAATGCTCGTAGAAATCGCAATAAATGATAACGAGAATGACAAAGTATTTCGGTAGACAGAATTTTCCCTGATTTTGTCCTCTGTAAGTATTAAGCCTTGTAAAAGATACTTGTTAAATACTGAAATAAAGAGGAAAATTATCAAATACGAGAGGCTAGTGCCGAATGGTGCATAAAGTTACTTAAAGGATATTAAACAAATACAACGGTATTTAATAAGCAATCTTCGTCAATAATCGCGTGGCGATTTTGCGTTTTATTTAAAAAAAAAATAAAATTGAATTGTAACGAATCGTAGAAGCTCGTAAGTATACAAATCCTCAAAAAGTTTCGAGGGGAACATCGCGAACGAATCGATGCGTACCTAAGGACGATTGGGATAAATGAATACAAAGCGGTCGTGTATCGAGTCGTATATCGAGTGGAATTTTGCGATATCTACGATCTCGCCGTTTATTATTGGAATATCATCTTACTATTCTATTGCGCTAGGACAATAATCGTTAATATTGTACCGTTATCGTCGAATTCGTATCACGACGTATCTAGTACACCCGTCATTGCGCTCGGACAACTAGAATCGCACCGTAGTCCACCGTGATTCGAGTTTCCCTGCGTCTCGACTGCAAGTTTCCAACGCATGCAGGATGAAAGCACGCGAAATTAAACGCTTCATTAATAACACGCTTAACTCGTCGGGTCCCCGTTTAATTTTTTCTTTTTTTTCTTTTTTGTTGTTGTTGCTTTCCGCTTGCTTCTCTCGTTTTCTTCTCGTTTCAACGAAAAGCGCTCGACGGAAAGATCGATGTTAATCTAAACACTGGCGATAGACAAAACAGGCAAAGCGTGAATAAAACGCATGCTTGCATCCTAACAACGGGGGTCTCTCCCTTACGAGTTGATTCATTGCTTTTGATTGCTTGCGCGCGATCGAGCATTTCAGCGATCAAATAGAACACTGCGTTTTAGGATCGGTGAATTCGCGAACGCGAGCCACTTCCTCCGCTCTAGGTATTACAGATTACGATAATAAATGGATAATTAATCAATCAGGAATTCATTTCTCACTTTTTCATATTTATTTTCTCCTCTCTTCTTCTTATTGTTATCATCATTCTCGGATGTTTCATTTGCAGCGCTGAAATGACTCTTTTAAAGTACTCTCGGCCCGTCGAAGCCGGGACTTCGAGGATACTGTGTATTGTACTTTGCAACCTTTTGTGTAAACCTGTCTCGTGTGATAATCAAGACGCGACGAGTACTTCGAAAGGCAAGAAATTTGTATGTGTATATATATATATATATATATATATATATATATATATATATATATATATATATATCGTTCCAAAAAACGATCGAACATGGGAAAAAAAAGCAGTTCTCAATGAATTCCCGTGTGATCGACGAGTTTCTTCGTGTCTCACGCCGGGTAAATTTCCCGGTAAAAAGTCGAAGATACTCGCGTCGACCTCCACGTCTTCTGATCTGATATCTAACTTCTCTCGGTCGAGAAAACCTTGCCGGAACGGAAATGAAATATTCTCGAAGGTTGTCCTCGGTATTGTCGTATTTATCACACGGGACAGCGCGGGTTTAGCATCGCGACCGATCATCGATCGTAACCGCACAACCACATTACGACGCCGGACATCCGTGGCTGATCGATCAACCTTCCATTTTAACAACCACTTAAAATATGCAATAACAGCACGTCCGGTGGTGAGGTACGTTACAAAACTAGTACAAAACTAGCAGCTAGGTACAAAAATGTAATTAATCGTTAATAATGGAGGCCGCCCGGAAAACTGCCAGGGACCAATTTCGCGTTTTTCTTCTTCTTCTTCTTCTTCTTCTTCTTCTTCTTCTTCTTTTTATCGCTTATCCCCCCTCCCCTTCAGTTCTTCCATCTTTTGTTCGTCGTCGTCGTTTATTTTTACGCGCGTTGCGTTTATAACGAGACAAGAAAAAGGGGGGGAAAAAGAAAACAGAGACGAGGGAAAAAGAAAGTCACAAAAAGAAGCAACGCTTCGGATCTTCCTTCTCTTCCTTTCTTTTCTTCCGTCCTTTTTTTTTTCTTTTCTTTTCTTTTCACAATGCAGGTACCATTACCTATTTTTTTCTTCTCTCTCTCATTCTTCTCCTTTTGTTTTTCTATCCCGGTTCTATCACGGTTTATTTATTAACCCCTCCTCGTTCCCGTTTCCTTCGCTTCCCCTTGAGCGACTTTAAAGTATTTAGAATCTCGTTATCGCTGAGGAATTTAATACTGCTCGGTTTGGCGGTTTCGCGGGTGCACGCTGACGTGGGTGGCACGCCCGGGGCTTTTGACAGGGAACACGCCCGGAAGCTGGTATTTCGACTGGGCTGTCCCCTTTTGATAAATGTTTTAAGCGACCGTCGCTTCGCTCCTTCGCCTCATTTTGTGCAGCCTCGCCGGAATAATTGAATTCTGGTTGACGAACGACCATTGCTGAAAGCTTCTGCGATTTAGAGAGGTGTTTGTTGTTTGGAATCATCGTTAGGTAGGACAATGATTTCAGCTTTGATTTAAAAGGTCAATGATGACTTTCTTTTTTGTATTTATGAGAAAACGAATATTGGAAAGATCATTTTTGTGTGTCAAGTAATTCTGTTGGTGGAAAAATTTGGACAACTAATGTAATTTAAACATTTCTTCGAATAAGAAGTTTGACTCCTCTTTTACTGAATTTTACGTTGTGGTGCAATTTCAATAGAATTTCGAAGATGCACATAATAATACAGTTAATTATTATTGAATGAAATGTTACAGGGATTATTCCAGCTTGACGCAAACGACATCAAACGTGCTCTTCAAGATAACAAGAAACTGTAAAAAAGCTTAAAACTTCCAGATTTTCTTTCGATGTCAGGAGTACGAATACGATTACCATTCATTGAAAGCACAATGAATTCGTCTGATCTGGATGAAAAATTCACCCCGGGGCGAATTTCTGGTTGAACTCGGTCATCCTTGTGACAGCGTGCACCCGAGACGTTGCATCGTAAAAGTTTAAAGCTTGCAACGATAGATCTGGACGAAAGAACCGCGTCACACGCGATGTAATATGTACATACACACACGAAGAGACACTCGGAGCGAAATCATAGCGTTATTTATTTATTTTCGTGTTTCTTTTATTTTTCGTTCTTTCCTTATTTGCGTTCGTGCACCACGATCAAACCCCGGCTAAAAAACTCGCGAGAACATTGCTCGCTCTCGATGTAGAAAAGAAACAGAACAGAACAGACAGAACGAATGGAAGTTTTGTTTTAATTGATTTTATTGGAATTATTAACAATACGACGGGTGACGGTACCCTCTTTCGCGATTACCTCTTTGAATTATACATTTAACCCTCTACTGGCCAGACGGAGTATCAGATATTCGTTGATTTCCTTGAACAAGATAAGGTTACGAGTTATATTAAATACAGTGTTTATTAGAAATACGTGTGATAAATAGGCTGCGAATATTTTTATACAAATAACGAATACGCCACATTCCCGTATTAAACGCGTATTCCATTTAAATGCCCCATTCAATGCATTTCTAAATTTTGTACAAACGCTTGGAAATCAGCAATCTGATAATAAAGATAACTCAGTAAGAAGAACCGTCAGAAATGCTTTATACGTTTATCTGTAAATTAACTGAAGGATGAGAATCCTCGTAGACTCCACCACGAGCTTTATTATATCTCGGCAAGTACAGTAGAGGGTTAAACTGAAGTGCCACTATCGACACAATGAAATACAAATAAAAGATCAATCGTTTGATTGCATCGAGTTATCGTACTACATCGTACCGCTTCTTGCTACTTCAATTTCACGAATCATCCGAAACGATGTATGAACGAAACGAGTCTCCTCGGAAAGTATTTTCGTTGTTGCAGTGCAAGAACTCGTTCATACCAGCTTCTGATCATCAAACAGGCATGTACGTGTGTATCTCAGGATACGTATCTTATCTGATCGTCAACGTCCTAGGATAAAAATCATCGGTGTTCTTCGAAACAGGGAAACGTCGATACCGTGACTCGTCGAACTGGCAAATAACTCGCACGAGAACGTGCTATCACGCTCGGCACGGTAAACAATCACAACGCACGGCGCACACGTCGTGTATAACAATTATTAAAATTCGTCGAGCGAACGACGATCAACAAATTGATTCGCATCGCGTTTTTTTTTTTTTTTTTATTCTGCTGCTTTTTAGCCGGGGCGCTGCATCGGGTTAGCTAACTGTTTCAACTATAACGCAGTCCAAAATTTCCTTTGATTCAGTTCTATGATTAAGACGTCGTTAACACCAGCGACGAGAGCCGTCGAACTCGTACTCTCGTTACCTTATGTCCGTTTCACAACCATCAGTTTTTCACACCGTCGAGTAGTGACGTATAGTTGTTAACCCTGCCGTTAATCCTCGAATTTTTTGTATTTACTTCGAAATGGAAGTTTTGAGAAAACTTTGACCATAGAATGGAACACCAACTAAACTTTTTCTTTTTTTTTTTTGTATTTGGTTCAAATGTGTTTATCATCGCTACCAAAAAAAAAAAAAAAAAAAAAAAAAAGGAAAAGAAAGAAAGAAGGAAAAAAAAAATCACTGGATCGAAAAACAGACGACCGGAAAGAACGGTAGCAGGATTAATTTCACAGCGTTGGCGGTGATAAATTACCGAGAGGACGTTTCGACGCCTCGCGTCTTAAATATCTCCGTTTTCAGAGCACCTCCGGGCACCTTAACCCTTTAATTTATAGCTTGGTATATCAAAATGGCACGATAAATTACCGTCGCGCATCTAATGGTATTCGTAGCCCCGAACGGGGCGTTCTCTTACAATTTATTTTATATTAGAAGAGCCTTAGTAAGTATAATAAAACACGAAGTCTAGAGTAAAAAATAGAGTAGAAGCTGAGACTTTCTAGACACCGATTTGCGTATTGGATTTCTTTCTTTTAACAGGGTTTCTTTTTTTTTTTTAACGTTCGCCATTCAAAGAAATCTCAGGATCTTTGCCCACTTGCTTGCGCGTGAGCATCGCTTTTTTTTTTCGAGCGTTAGCGGGAACAATATTTTTTCTGTACTTCATTCTCTCTCTCTCTCTCTCTCTCTCTCCTTCCTCTCCCTCTTCTTCTTTTCAATAATATTCATATTCGTTTTGTCAATTTTGCCAAATTTAGATAGTAGTAATTCATTTCTCTCCTCTTTCGTAATTTTCTGTGAAATATAAAGTAATTTAAGCATCGTTATATTATTTAAGACACGTAATGTGTGTCAAGTAATTACTGGATCACTTTAAAAAATTAAAATAATAAACAAATTACGCCAAAAAGTAATACAGTCGATGCTACGTCTGCTTCTGAGAACGTTCCTGAATCTCGAGGACAACATATGTACTTACAAATCGATGGAACAGTCTATAACTTCCAAGTGACACATTCTCTACAAGCCTGTTAAATTTTTAATAACAATTCGTTAAATGTTATTCTTTCATGTTCTATTGATTCCAAGATTCCATCCTCGTTTTTAGTTTCATTATTAACTCACTATCAGAGTTATCAAAAAGTATTTCGTTTCAATAGCTTTCAATTTTGTTACAACGTATCTTCTTGCACTTAAAAATTGGAGTATTCTCTGTTGATATCTTCTTACTTTTCAAACATTTCAATTCAGTAATACTTGTTATTCCTCTTTAAAGGAAATTTAAAAATACCTGTTATTCCTCTTGCTATTCCGTTTGCAATTACTAATTGTTATATATTGTCCATTAAAATCACGTTTGACACACGAAATAAATTATCACGTGTACAATTGAAAGTTGCTAAACGATACGCAGCACTTCAACAATTAAACAACACAATTAAAGCAAACTAGCTGAAGAATTTCAGCAATAACGGAACAAAAGTCAGGAAACATCTCTGCAACAGACGATTCTCATTTCTCAGTTATTCATAACAAACGGCGATACTCTGCCTAATTAACGAAACGATTAATTACACGCGTTTTCGCGCCAATTACGTGTAGCGCACGCGCGTACACCGCCGATGCATAAATATCATCGTGACGGAAACGAGAAGTTTCGCTATATAAAAGCATCGCGAAACGGCGCAACGCTCGTACTCAAACAACGAAGTTTATTCGCTGCAGAAACAACTAGGTTTATAAATGAACAGCGCGTTTTATTAATAACCCGGTTGCTTTCTCTCTCTACCAACGGAGAATGATCTCCGCCCAAGCTTTTTTGCCCGTTTGAATCGGCCGTTTGCCGATCGAGCCTGAATCGTAAACTGGGGCGAGTTTCAAATTAGATTCGCGTCCGGCAGATTTATGGAATAACTCGCGAATAACTACGGAATAACGACGCGAGATTCATCGTCCAACGATTCGATTCCAACGAACGAAAGTCACTTCTTTTTTTCGACCGTGCTCTTTCGCAGCTCCTTCTACGTTCATTCAATTAATCCGACGCTTTTATTGCTTCCGTCCGCGATCACGATCACGTAACGCAGCCACCGGTGAAAGTTTGATTACCATTTTAATTGGAAAACTGCGAGTTCGCGTACGATGGGCTACCTTTCAATTTCACGCTCTATAATCGAGTTTTTGTCCTCGGCCAGTCGTTTATTTTCAGATGCAGATCTAGAATCGAGTTGTATCATTTCTGATTCGTTCATTTCTTCGCCGGCGAGGAATAGGCTCGTCTTCGACTAAAAGAAAGATCGCTCGAAATTACATTTGGAAATGTTAGCTGCAGCTGTGAAAACTAAGCAGAGAGAAATTTTCTGTCTGTTCGAGCAGAAAGATACATCGGAATGAGAGAAAGATTTTTCTAGGAACGTTTAGTAATAGCACTGTTCTGAATCAAGTAATTGCGAAGATTACTTGAAAAGTTGCTGCAAAAATGAGTACAGGCTATCCTGAAAGTTTGCTTGTGTTTGAATCGAGAAACCTCACTTTGGAGGTTTGCGCTTCTTAAATCTATATCTAAAAAAAAAAAAAAAAAAAAAAAAAAAAAAAAAAAAGAAAACAGAAGAACATTAAATATTTACCTGAGAAACCTCTGCAAGGGAAACAGTTATCAAAGAGATTTGATGTAACTCTTGAATTCGTATTCTTTGAACAAACCACCAATTCATATAACACAACAAAGTTAGTCCAACAAAATCAATCGTTCTCAACAGAATTACCTTTTCTTAAAATGAAACACTTGAAACCACAGAAACTTTCAAGACCTCACATCTGACATAATAATAACATTCAACAATCGTATCCGAAAGAATAAATTCACGAAATGGAAGAAAATGAAGCGTGTCGCTGAAAGCTCGATTTAAAAACCAGAAAGAAGGAAACAGAGAGAAAAAAAGAGAGAGAGAGAGAGAGAGACTGGAAGGGAAGCCGATCGCGAGGCCGAGTAAAGGAGGAAGCGCGTTAAAAAAAGCGTGTAGCCATCGCGATCGAGAGCTCCCGTCCGCGAGTCGTTCGTTTTCACATGGGCGTTCTACGGGCGCGCAGATCGACGCGGCGTCGCATTCGTAGAGGCATCTCCGTTAATTGACCTAGTGTTCTCTTGTATCTCGTGTGTTCGCCTGGCGTAGTCATCCACGATCATCCTTTACGATCCTCGTTTTTTTTTTTTTTTTCCTCGATCGACAAGTTGTTTCGCGGATCGAGCGAACTTACACGTCGTCGTAAGACCGCGACTCGCTTCGTAAGATACTTGTGTGTTTTTTGAGCGTGAGCTTACCACGTAGATATAGGCAACGATAAATAGTGTTCTCTAGGGATGGGTCACTCGAAACTCCTCGATAGTCCAGGAAAGTTTCGAAAGACTTTGCACGTCTTTCGTGACACGGAGCTGTCGAGACTGTCTTCAGGTGAGAGAAAGTACGAACGAATAAAGTAATCGTTCGCGAGAAATTGAGAATCGAATTCGCTTCTTTTCGGCGCGCCACTGAGAGATTGTTCGATAAATCATAGACAAGAACGGGTAAATTAGATCCAGAATGTGTTCCAGATGCAAGTACTTTTCCACGTTTCACCTTCTTGCTTGTACCTTCACTTTTGTTCGTACTTTGAAACAACATTATGCGAAATAAAATGATAAGTTCCGTGAGTTTCGAGAATTCGGGGATCAGACCCATCCCTGGGGGGTCTCTCTTTGGGAACGCTGTTGCGAAACGACGGAGAGGAGAGGAACGCGCGAGAGAGGCTCTCCGCGTTTCGCCGACCTTCGAACAGCGTGCCACAGTTCAAGAAGGAAAGAAAGCGGAAAACAGGAGATAAATAGAGCGTCTCCGATTATAATTGATCTGCGGACTGCGGCGATCAGCGTCGAGCGAATCGTCGCGAGAACGAGCAGGGGGGAGGGGGGAGGGAGGGTCGACGATTCGCTCGCGATGACCGTGTCCCTCATTTCCCTCCGAGAATCTTCGCGGCGCGACGAACGCGCCCCACCAGACTGAGTCCTCGATTCTTTCTTTCGATCGTGCACCACGCTCGTTCCCACGCTCCCGTCGATAACGCCGATTCTTTTAATAGCAGACACGTGATCGTGTATATCAGTATATCAGTATCAGTGTATGTATATGCGATACAATCAGTTATAGTTAAATTGAAGTCGTATAGAAAAAGGAATAGTCCAACAGTTTCGCGCGGTTTCTTTATTGACGATCCGAATAGTTTGACAAAGAAGCGATGAAACACGTGCACATGTCTCTTTAGATCTGTATTCTATTATTCTCTGAATTTTCTCGAATCGCCTCTCGATTCGATACCTAATTGCACGCGGTGAGGTTTTGACGGTTTTCGGATAGACTCGAACTGACACGAGAGCGATACCCGGTTCGAAGGAGAAAAAAAATCGTACAATTAGTGTCCGAAGTTTATCATCGAGCGGTTTGTTCGATCGCTCGTTCACCTTACGTGAGATGTTTGCTAGATTTTAGCCGACCGATCGATCGTTCGCTCGGCTGGAAATAATTCGTCCACCGTGGCGCGAAGACAGAAACGGAAAAATAGCAATCGTGATCGACGCGCGTCCGATAGACGGGATGAAGATCTCGATGATCGTTCCTGAAAGAAAGCCGAAATCGGAAAGAAAGGATTCTTCTCTGTTTGAAGCGGGGAAAGAAGTTTGGCGGGTTCGTTGATTAGAAGTCATTCTGTCTTGCGGAAGATTTTTTTTTTTTTTTCTTTTTCGAGACCTCGCTCGTGTTCTCTGATCGTGTTCTGATCGGTCGGACTGGTGAGTGGGTAGCGCCTTTCGGAACAAAGAATCTCAGTCTCAGCGGTCGAAGAGGGCTCCGAGAGAGAACTCTTGCGGCGGATGCAAGAAACGACCTCGAATGCCGAGAATGAGTGAAAAGCGATGCTCTAGGAATGGGGCGCGTGTTGTAAAACGCTCGTAGCGCGCATAAGGAAAAAAGCGTTTCCCCTTCTGTTCTCGTAGGCGTTTTTGGCGTTTTTTTCTCTTTCTTTTTTTTTTTAATCGTCGTCGTCGAGGCCAAGCAGTTCCGGCGGAAGTCGCCTGTGCCGGCAGCACAACGTCAGACAGAGCACGCGAACGGCCAGACGAAATTGCGGGCTCAGAGTCCCGAGGACCACCGCTTTCCAGAAACTGTTCGTCACCCCCAGCCACACTACCGCGAAATGGAGAAACGGTACCTGCAACGTGAATCATTAAAATCTGTGAATTATTCGAGCGACTTAAAATATCAAGCAAAGGTATACCTTTTTACAACATCGACAATGTTACACGAGACTATGGAATATTATTATTTGATGGATTAGATGGATAGATGGATACAGTATTAGCGAGTATTATATCGAGGAATTTATCTAATTGTTACTCTTGTCAATCGTCATTTTTATTTTTTAAGAATATTGTTTCTTCGTATCGCTAACCACCTTTCAACTAACGTTTATGTGGTTTTTTTCCTTTAACCTCTTGCGCTGAAATGAACGTATCCACGCATATCCAGAATTTTTTTGTCGCAAAATTGCAATATTTTTTCAGTTTTAAGTATATTTAAGTATAAACCAGACAAAACAAATAATAAATTTATTACTTTTCAATAATTTCTATCCAGTGATGTCGTACCGACGAGTTCAAAAAGAATGCGACGAATTATTGTATACGGTTTGGTATGCTCGTTATGGTCCGCGATCCATAGTTTCCAGCGCAAGTGGTTAAAAAGTAAAAGTATTTATAAATAAAAGTGGTTGAAAGATGCGCCGTTTGCTGCTTCTTTTCTTAAATCGCTCCCATAACGATGAATCAAAGTAAAATAATAAAATCAGCGCGACGTGTGCATCGACACAATTACAAAACCGTGTTAACAACTTCTCGAAATCTTGATTAAAGCAGAAAATATTGATAGCAGAGTTACGCACACTTTTAACCGACACGCGGAAAGAAAAAATAAAAAAAACGCACCGCGTGAAAGAGACATAGAAATGTATATAGAAAGAGAAGGATATCGATGTAACACACGAGCTTTTCATTCCGCGTAAAAGCTATAATTCTCGAAACATTTCGAACGAGATAGAGAGAGAGAAAGAGAGCGAATATACGTCCGTATCAACACACATCGAGACTGACCTTTCCCCTATAGATATGTATTCCAACAGCATTCGCGCGACAAAGGACGAGCGACGTTTAAATTACCTGCGGCGGTCCGTTAACGACAGCGTATATCCGGAGACCGGCATACGGTGCCCAGGACACCCAGAAAGCCATCACCAGGACAAAGGATACGATATGACTTGGATTGCTCAGGTTTTCCGAGAGCGCGGTCGCGTATTCCTTGTCGTGTATCAGCACGCCGGATTTTAGCCGCCTCATCATCGTGAAGATGTAGCTGTAGGTATAGACGATGGTGATGACCGACGGCCCTAGCACGAGGATCGACAGTGTGATGGTGTAAGCAGCCATGTTGCCCCAGTCGAGCATGCAGATGAACGCCTCCCGGTCGAAAATCGGCTTTTGGAAACCTAGGAGAGGCGGGCAGCACATCATCGCCACGCTGATCCACGTGAAGACCATCCAGCACTGGCATCGGGTTTTCGTCTGCACGGTCTCGTAACGCAATGGTTTCCTGCGAAAGCAAATTGCCTCGTTAGTTGAAGTTCGCACTGGGAGAAGTTAGCTCGAAATTAACACTAAAACTACCGACTTGTGCAGCGGAGCATAATAATTCCCATTCGAAGACGTTGGAGAAAGGAACTAGAAAACCTTTATGATTCGATTACACAAGCTTGTATTTATATATTTTACGAATAATTTAAATCTTTAAATTAATTAAAGCTTTTCAAATTTTTTTTTTAATCTTAATTAAATCTTCAAAAGTACACTGTTTTCTATCTACAAAAATTCCAACAGAAATGGCCATTTTGACTATTTTGGTAGTTCTAGTGTTAAGAGTAGAGTCTGAAACATTTTTACCTGTATTATATATGTAGTTTGTGTAAAGTACAGTCCATTAGTGTTTATATGTATTGGAATATTTATCGTATAAGGATTAAAAATGCAAAGAAAAATCTGTTAAAGTTATTTGCCAGAGATATATTAATGCCCATATTTATTCGATTTTAAAGTTTGTTGAGAAACTTTTTAATCGACTGGATAAAATAAAGTAATTAAAGTAAGTAAAGTAGTAATTAGGTAAATCAAATAAAATAATAATCAAATAAAGTAATTAAGTAAATCAAATAAAGCATTATTCATAATTGACGAGATTTAACGTTGTAACGTAATAATTTCACAAGATTTCAAACAAAGTTCCAAAGCGTTACTTATGAACAAAGAGTGTGGCTAGAAGAGTTGAAGGTTGAAATTGAATTTATGATAGTGAAACGAAGAATCGAGGGTATAGAGTTTGTGTTCTAATAAATAACATGGATAATTCGTTCGTAAGTCGAAAGTTTGTTGAAGGTTGTCTAGATTTTAGTTTACCTATAATCTTGACATCGGTCCACCTTAGGTCTATATTTAATTAGTAGATCTAACTTGTTAACCTACATGGTTTTGTCAACTAATAAATAGTAAAGTTATTACAAAGAGCATGAGGCATACATCATTTATTACGATATAATATTATTCCATTCCTTTCGTTTATAGATACACTTTGAGCTACACATATATATCTATGTACGCAAAACTTTTTCTCCAATTGTATAGCCATTAATCGTATACCTAACATATTCTACATATTCTTGAATTAGGCAAATATTAAAAAGTTATGTACTCGACATTCTTTCCAAACTCTTTCGAAGAGTAATAAGAAAAGAGTAAATTTTTAAATTTTACAAACTTCTAGATTTCTTTAGAATTGCTTTTAAATTTTACCAGTTGATATCACAAAGTGATAAGAAAAAAAGAATTTTACGACTGGGACGTACCTGATGGCCAAGTACCGGTCCACAGAGATCCACATGAAGGTGTAGACGGATACCGCCCAGAGAGTAACCTCCAAATAGCCAACGAGACGACACACGACGTCCCCGTAGACCCATTTTCGTGCGTACGCTGGATACACCGAGAGCGGAACCACCAGCAGACCACAAAGAAGGTCCGCCGACGCGAGAGACAGCAAGTAGTAGTTTATCACCTCGGAGGGACCTATGCGGTGTGATTCTCATTTATATTTACCTCGGGTGTGAATCACCGGACGTTCGGTTTTTCAGTCAAAATAGAATTACGGTTTTGCTTTTTCAACGGTTCGAATTAAAGGGAATGCGCGAGGAGAAAGAAAGTAAGAAAGTGCGAGATATCGCAACGACGATTCTAGAATAATGACAGTGTTAATAAATAATTTTGTTTCGCTCAAATTCTGTCTAAAATTTAGTCAAGTATACGCAAAGGTTCATTAAGTTTTAATGAATCGTTAAGTTTGTTAATCGTTGTTTTGATCTGAAAATATATTTTGATAAAAAAAATCTTTTGCCAATATTGATTCAAGAATTTTTAATACTCCTAATGATGATGCATTATATATACGTGTATTTATGTAACAAGATCGTTCAAGAACATTCAATTAACAAGCAAATATTTATGCAAATTAATATTTCCATAATTAAAGAATTGCTAAATAAATTCATGTGGCAAATTAATATAAATCTCAAGACTAAAAAAACTTCTCCCTTTAAAAAAACTCCTTTAAACTTAGCGTTTCATTTGTCATCCCCCGTCTCGTGTGTCGTTTTTTCAATGAAAGGAATATTCATTTTGTCCATTCTCGTCCAAAACGTTAAAATAACGTACAGGTTAAATATCCTATGATATTCAGAATTACAATCAAAATAGTCTGACAAAGACGAAATCAACGCCAATTTCACCAGAAAATTCACGTTTACACGTTCCTAATAGCTACAATAAAAAAAAAAAAAGAGGATAGACAGAAATAAATCCGAGACTCGCGTTGTTCAACAAATTTTAAATAAATCAATCGCTCGAGAATCCGCCTGAAAACCGAGATAAAACTTATTAAAGCACTCACCACGGAAATTAAGGTAGGTAGCGATGATGAGGAGATTCGATAGGATGATGGCGACACCGACCACGAAGATGAGGCCCGCCTGCATGAGAGCCTCCAGCGAGGGCTCCTCCATGCCGCCACCCTTTCGAGCTGCATCCCCCCACCCGCCCTTAGGTGCTGTTACCCGTCACCCCCCCTCCCCGCCCCTTTGTCAACAGCCACAAAACACAGCCAGGTGCTAGGCCCTCCTTGGTAGCTGGGGCACCTGGTTCCCTTTCCGCCGCTTCCTCTGTCCTTCCGCTTTCCTTCGCTTCGCCCCGAGAGACCTGCCCTGCCGGAGGCTTGTCAATCCTCCCTCACCAGCAACCACAAACCTTTCTCTCCCCCGAGATCTTTACGCGAACGTACACTCTCTAACGATCACGTCGCTTCGACGATCTTGATGGACGATCGATCTAGCTACGTTGCTGCAAGCAGAGAGTAGAAATCGAGCTGATGTCTCGTTTGATTTTTATTTCTTTTTCTTTTTTTACATGAGGTGCTGTTTCAGGTCTTGATGACTGCGAGAACGATGACGATGACGTGATGTCGGTGAAGAGGTGACCGATGCGAACGGGGGATGAACGACCAGCGTTGAAGAGCGGAGCAACTTTGTTTCGCGGCATCTGCGAGAGATTTACGAGGAATGCTGCCATATTTGATTTTCTGCGAGATCGAGAATTGAAGACACTCGTTGTTCCGTTCTTTACGTTTCTACATTTTTAAAAAAATACGATTTAGGTGCGATTTAGGTGTGAAGCGATTCAGGGCAGTGCAGAGCTGTGAATCGAAGAGAAGCAATTAGTATTGGCCAGGAGCTTGCCCCTTAAGTGGATCGTTGAGACCGCTGTGGACCCATTTAATTTCAAGTTGATAATTACATCAACACGTGAGACACAGTTTTCATCGTTATTAAGTAAATTCACGTAATTCTTTATTATCTCTAATACTGTATAGAAAAATTTCTTTCTATTTTTCAATTTGATATAAATTCCAAGTATTAAATTAAAAATTGAAAGTCCACTGAAGGATTAAATAAAGAAAACGGAACGAGTATTTCCGAAATGAAAGTGAATATAATGGTTTTTTTCAAGTAATAGAATTCGCTGGAGTCATATTAAAGGCAGATATTGGATTTGATAATCATGAAAGAGTAAAAATCGAATACTCTCGTATTTGACTTTCTGGAAATTAAAGACACATATTTTTTTTTTTTATACTTTGTATTCAATAGTGCGATTCGATTAGATGTAAAATGGAGAATGAACAAGAAATTGCTGATTAGAAGCCTAAAGAAAAAAAGAGAGAAAAGAGAGGAGTGAATATTTACGAAGTGGAAGTGGTTCTTTGAAGTAATACAATTCGTCGAAGTGAAATCGAAATCAGATATTGGATTTAATAATCGAATGCATAAGAAAGCGTGGCGTACTAGAAACTTTCAATTCGTCCCGAGTGTAACGTAATCAAGACACTCTGGTAATCAGCACATTCAGAAAACTGAAGAAAGATTTAACAGATAAGTGATTTTAATAAACGACGACAAAAATATCTCCGATAAAATCTCATCCATATTCCAACGATCCACTAATAAATATTAGTCCATCGAGAATCAAACAATAATTCATCGATGTTTTTAAATTTTATAAAATTATGAACTCTTGGTGAAAGATAAAATAACGAAACAAATATCAAGTAAGTCCTTCCGTAGCATTAAACATTAAAAAATAGGATAAATCGATTAAAAGGAATTGCAACATTGATCCTCGACATTAGCAGGCAATAACTCTTCGATATTTTTAAATTTTATAAAATTATGAACTCTTGGTGAAAGATAAAATAACGAAACAAATATCGAGTAAGTCCTTCCATAGCACTAAACATTAAAAAATAGGATAAATCGATTAAAAGGAATTGCAACATTGATCCTCGACAGTAGCAGACAATAACTCTTCGATGTTTTTAAATTTTATAAAATTATAAACTCTAGTGGAAGATAAAATAACGAAACAAATATCAAGTAAGTCCTTTCGTAGCACTAAACATTAAAAAATAGGATAAATCGATTAAAAGGAATTGCAACATTGACCCTGGACACTAGCAGGCAATAACTCTTCGATGTTTTTAAATTTTATAAAATTATAAACTCTAGTGGAAGGTAAAATAACGAAACAAATATCAAGTAAGTCTTTTCATAGCACTAAACATTAAAAAATAGGATAAATCGATTAAAAGGAATTGCAACATTGACCCTCGACAATATCAGGCAATAACTCTTCGATGTTTTTAAATTTTATAAAATTATAAACTCTAGTGGAAGGTAAAAAAACAAACAAATATCAAGTAAGTCCTTTCATAGCACTAAACATTAAAAAATAGGATAAATCGATTAAAAGGAATTGCAACATTGACCCTCGACACTAGCAGGCAATAACTCTTCGATGTTTTTAAATTTTATAAAATTATAAACTCTAGTGGAAGGTAAAATAACGAAACAAATATCAAGTAAGTCTTTTCATAGCACTAAACATTAAAAAATAGGATAAATCGATTAAAAGGAATTGCAACATTGACCCTCGACA